GGGGTGTAAGCACAGATGTAAGTAGATCATGGTGACAGGCGGAAGCGGTGGGGAGCCTCTATCTTTTTCCCACTGAAGTGCTGACCTTGTCATGGACGAGAAGAGGAGCCCCGAGAGCCTGACCGTGGCCGAGCTGCACCGTGCGACACCCGCCTCGTGCCTGGGTTTGCTGTCCCTTCCTCTCCGAGGTGTGGTCCCTGCGAGCGCCTGAGCCCCCTGAGCCCCATCAGGTGTTGGCCGTGTGGTGGCCATTGGTCCTCAGGCGCCGCCAAGCCCCCACGGCGAACACCCCTGCTCACCGTTGGAGCCCCCACAGGTGGAGGAGAGCGACTACCTGGGCCTGGGCTTGCCTGGCCGTGTTTTCATCACATGCGGCGCTTGTTTCCACGGCAGCACAAGCAGAAGGGAGGCCTGCCTGCCGGCCCCGGGTGCTGGGCAGGGCAGGGGGCCGAGGGCAGGGCGTCCCTCAGCACCTGGAGAGGGAGGGCGGTGGGTGTGTTAAGGAGCAGATTGCACACACACCCCCCCCCCCGCTGCACACCCCCCACCCTGCCCCCAGCCCCACATGGAAGGAGGGTGGCGCTGAGTCTCTCCCCAAAGGGCAGACGTCCCATCCGTCAGCAGCTGCCCAGCCCAGCCCAGCGGCCCGCCCTGAGTGCGAGCGCAGGTGCCCGCGGCTGTTCGCGCGGAGCTCACTCCACTCAGTGCGGGCACCGGGGAATGGCCCACACCCCAGTAGCTGCACATTTAGCACCGAGAGAGAGGCGGCACACTGCCCTGCCTTCCACGCCCTCCGCTGCTCTGTGCTCGTTGCTCAGATGGCGGTGTTGCTGGGGAATCCTCAGCCGGTCCTTCGGGTCAGAGGGGCTCTGCTCTGGGCTGGAAACAGGTGGGGCTCCCACAGACAATGCTCCGTGGACGTTCTCAGCCACTCTCTGCTGCTGAGGTTGGGGGGGGGGGGGGGGGGGGGGGGACTGTTACTGTCAGATTTCCCTAACAGGACGTGTCCTGGCTAAGGATAAGGCTGCTGCGTTTCCCCCCAAGAACTCGGAAGCCTGCTGGTTGGGATGGAGGGGTGAGTGGGGCGTGCCATGGGTGCCGGCTGCAGGGGCGCCCACGGGAGGCGCACAGGAAACCAGTCGGCTCACATTCTGCATCAGGCAACGTGCAGACGCAGAGGAACCCCATTTCTGAGAGGCCGGGTTCCCACACCCCCGATACTGCTCCCTCCGCCCTGCCTCTGGGGCCAGCCTGCCCCGCCCACTGAGCTGTCCTGGGCCGGGCTCTGGAGGTTCGGGGCTGCCCCCCCCCCCCAGTGGCTTCAGACCACAGCCTGCTGAACCTGTCCCTTGGCCATGAAATCTGTCCACTGCCCTCTGCCCCTTACCCCTCGGCCCTGTGGGGCGCTGGCCGTCTCTGGCTGGACAGCTGCACCGGCTCCTAACTGCCCTCCTGTGTCCTGGGTTGGCCCCAGTGGCCCCCTCACCTTTCCCATGTGGCCCCGGCTGTCACCCAGAGGCGCCCGGGGCTCTGAGTCCGAGCGCTGAGGTGCTTCTCAGACTTGCTGTGCGTCCATCCCGGCATCCGAAAGTCGGGTTCTGACTCAACAATTCTGGACTCAGGCCTGAGACTCTGCATTTCACATTAGCTCCGGGTGATGCTAACGCTGCAAGGAGCTGGGGGCGCGGGGAGGGGCGCGGGGAACCCTGCTGTCTCCCTAGCCTCGTCCCCAACTCTGTTCCGGCCACACTGAACTTGCAGCGCCCAGAATGCTCCCCGCTGGGCCTCGGTGCAGGCTGGCTCCCTGGCCTGGCTGGCTCCCCCTTCGCTGCAGGCACCATGTAGGCATCACCTCCTCCAGCCTTCTCGGACTGGGCGGCTCAGTGGTGTGCGGTGGAGGGGAAGGTGGTAGCAATCCCTCTACCTGTGGCAAGGTCAAGGGGAGAGTGAGCGAGCCTGGGAGTTTCAGGGCAGCAGCCGGAGAATCGGGGAGCTCCTTCCTCCTAGAGAAGGTCCTCGCAAGGTGACCTGCCCCCCCCCCCCCCCCCCCGCCGGGTGCGGGAGGCCTGTTGACCTGAGGTCAGTGTCCGACGGGTCTCCCGCTGCTCAGTTCTTGGTTGAGCGGGAAGGATCCCTGAAGTAAAGACAGCAGCTGCCGGGGCCCTGAGCAAGGCCAGCCGCACCGCCGTCTGTGTTCTCAGGCTGCAAACGGGGCGTCTGTCCTGTGAGCAAGGTCATTGCAAGGGTGAAACCTTTTTCGGAAGGTTCTCGACCACAGCTTGAGTGAGAGTCACGGAGACCTGCCTCTGCTGTAGAAACTTTATTCTGGGACCCTTTCTTCTTTTCTTAAGAAAACAGTTTAAAGGGCTGTCCTTTTATTATTTTCTCTGCTCACTTGAGCTGTAAAATTACTTCCCATGCAGGTTGGAAGTCAGCGACTCCCTGGCCGGAGAAGTCCTGGAATTTGCTGGGAATGGAATCTGAGACATGTGACTGAGCCAGGCCGACTTAGCCATGTGATCTCAGCTTGGCAGGGGCCGTGCCAGTTGAGTCTGGAAAAAGTACATGCATTACCGAGCAAATACGCTGACCGGTCGCCCAGTGCCAGGGAGAAAGCATGTGACTCACGGGGGCATCTCGTGTCCCTGCCCTGGGTGACAGTGGAAAAACCTTGCTGCCCTCCAGCTTTCACGGTCGGCGAAGAGGACGCCCTTTCTGAACTGCGTTTCCTCCTTCCTTAAAGGGAACATCCCGGTGCAGGCCCCCTTCCCGGCCTCTCCCTCGCCCGCCCTGCGGGCGCTGCAGGTCTGCTTTGCTGCGTCATAATCACAGATGCTGAGCCGTTGGCCTGTTCACAGCAGATAATGACCTTCGTGTCTTCCTGAGGAAAACTGCCAAGTTTGGTGGGTTATGCCCATGTAGTCACTAGGTGGCACTGGAGAAAGTTAAAAAGTGAACTGTTCTCTTTTTCATAGTAGAAAATCACACTCTTTTTAAAGGAAACTTACAGGAATGGGTTTGATAAATTAGGGGAGAAGGAAATGCACAAGGAGGAGGAAAACGAGTTGGGCGAGGGCATTGAAGACATCCAGTCTTATTCGTCCGGAACCGACTTTGAACGAATATTTACAATGTCTGCAAACCGGTGGCTCTGGTCTCCAAATACCTTTCCAAACCTCCTGTCCCGTTCTGTATCTGCCCTCTAGTGGACACATGCTGAACAGAACATTCAACCGGAGGGCTCGCTAGGAAAAAAGCAGAGGCGCAGTAAGAAATGACAAGCCCTTCTATATACCAGTATCTGGGGGAGGCAACTAGTCAATGTGCCTCTCTCACATCGATGTCTCTCTCTCTCTCTCTCTCTCTCTCTCTCTCACATCGATGTTTCTTTCTCTCTCTCTCTCTCTCTCTCTCTCTCTCTCTCTCTCTCTCTCTCTCTGTCTTCCCTTCCACTCTCTCTAAAAATCAATGGAAAAAATATCCTCAGGTGAGGTTTTTTTTTAAAAAAAAAAAGATGACCAACTCCAGGGAAATGCAAATTAAAAAAACAACAATAGGTACTATTTCAATTCACTAGTTAGGTACAAATTTGAAAGTCTTGAAAAGTTCTAGGTATCAACAAGTATATGGAGCCAAGGGTACTTTTGTATACTGCTAGTGAGGCTGTAAATTGTCTACAAAACAATGTGTAAAAATTGGCTTTATCCTGTAAAGCTGAACATGCCTTTAAATAACGAGGTGGTCGTTTTACCACCGAGTCTCTCCTTAGAGAAACCCTTAGACATGTATCCTGCAACACGCAAGACTGTTTAGTGCTGCACGGTGGTAATAGCAAAAACAAAAACAAAGCAAAACAAAAAAACAACTGGTGTATCCGTACCCAGGAGCGTGGATCCGTACAATGTCGTATATTTATTTAATGCATCCCAAAGAATGAAAATGAACAAACGACAGCCCCGTGCAGCGACGTGGCTAAATCATAGCTCTGGGTGAGAAAGAGCACCTGCAGGAAAGAAGAAGAAGAGCCCGGGAATGATCAAATTTACCCTGGGGAGGGATGGTTACGGTTTATTTCCTAATCCAGGGGTGAGCACATGGGCGCTTCTTTTTATGTTGCCATTATGTTAGGTTCTTCTGCGTGCAGGACAGATGCTCATATTTTCTGTTGTGGTCACAGATGCCTAAGGTCACATTTAGCACTGTGACCGCTTTTAGCTGTAGGATTGGCGCAATGACTTGAGCTCATCACTCACTGTCCCACCGCCCGCCCCCCCCCGCGGCCGTGCCTCTGCGGACCGTTCCATCACCCACTGCGCCTGCGCAGCACGTCCAAGCGATCATTGCCGAATCCCTCACGAAGCTTTGCCTTCGGCTTTCTCCTAAACGTGTCATCGTTTAGCGCTTAGGTTTAAGCTTTTGGTCCACTTTGGGTGCATTTTTATTGACGGTGTGCTGAGGCCCAACATCATTGTTTTGCAGGGTCCTCCCACTGATGGATGAAGAAAGCCCCCAGTTCTCGCCACTGGTTAAGGGCAGCGGCCTGGCAGTCAAATCCAGCCTATTGGGCAGCGCCCTGCACTAGACAACTGCGCAGGCGCCCAGCAGCAGGCGCCCCAGCCCAGGGTTTGGACCCGCCTCTTTGCTGACAGCCCTTTGACTTTTGGGCTAGGGGCCCTCCCCTTTCCGGTTCCCGAGCAGTGGAGCCCTGAAAATTGGCGCAGGCGCCGGTGGGAGGGAAAGCTTGGCAAATCTTTGGCGTCGGGGCCGTCAGCAGCTGGTTGTAAGACGTGGACTCTAGCTCCGCGTTGTGTTGTATACAGGCCGCGTTTTCCCTCGCGCTCTAGGACGGGGCGGGGCCCTGGGGGCGCCGGTAAATAAGGAAAGGGCGGGGCTTGGTGCGTACGCGTACGCGTGCGCGTGCGCGTGCGCTCTGCCCGGATTGGCTGCTCGGAGCGGCGCTGGTGTTGGCGGGAGATTCGTGGGCTCCGCGGGCTGGGAGAGCGGCGGTGGCCGGGATGGCCTCCGCGGGACGGGTGCGGACCCGGCGAGGCGCGGGGTAAGTGCTGCGGCCCCTGGGAGCGCAGGCCCGAGGCCGGCTTTATCATCTCGTCCTACCGCGGTTTGTGCCCCTGGCAGCTGTGCTGCTAGCGAGGCGTCCTGGCTCAACCATTGCGTTAGTTTCCCCGTGTGACTCTAGGCCTCGGTTTTCCCGTCTGTAAAATGGGAATAATAATCCCCCATAGGGTTGCCGTGAGCCTTAAATGGGGTTACGGTTTAACACTGCCGGGCGCGCAGGAAGGAATGGTAGCTAGTGTTGGCATTACTCTGTGGGTGAGCGTAAAGTAGGCTCGGAACCCTTTGAAACCAACTGTCCAACAAACGCTGAGCGCCTGCTCCCTGCCAGACATCTCATTCCTGCGGCCTGTGCTCCGGCTAGTAGTCAGTATTCTTCTTTTCCAAGCCCTTGCTGGGTTTTTGTTTTGTTTTGTTTTTTATAACGCAAACCACAGATCTTTTTTTTTTTTTTTTAAATATATTTTTATTGATTTTTTACAGAGAGGAAGGGAGAGAGATAGAGAGTTAGAAATATCGATGAGAGAGAAACATCGATCAGCTGCCTCCTGCACATCTCCCACTGGGGATGTGCCCGCAACCAAGGTACATGCCCTTGACCGGAATCGAACCGGGACCTCTCAGTCCGCAGGCCGACGCTCCATCCACTGAGCCAAACCGGTTTTGGCGCAAACCACAGATCTTAAAGCTGAACCACATCTCAGCGGGGTTGAGGTAGGGGGGACGACAAAGCTGCCGCTTTTTATATAACATTTTTATTTATATGTTATGTATAACATTTTATTTATGTATTTATATGTAAACTTTTTTTTTCCCCTTTGAGACTCATGAAATCTGTTCATCCCTCCTCCCAAAATGCACTGGTGTGCAGACAGCAAAACTTTTACATATAGTATCACAGGGGTTTCCATCTTTGGGAAATCTTGCCCCCCGCCCCGCCCGCCCCCTTGCTCCTTGCCGAAGGTAAGAAAGAAACGACTATTTTGGGGAGCACAGTTAAGGCACGAGTTTAGGTTAAGAAGCTATGCATCTGGCTTCCAGTCCTGTTTCTGTTACTTGACTGTGACCACGGCTAAGTCACTTAACTCACCTGCACCCCCACATCGCTAAATGTCATAAAGTGGATACCTGTGCTGTCTTCTTTGGGTCTGGAAGTCAGAGACAGCCGTGGTTCTCCAAGTGGGGTTCCCTGCCCAGCAGCGTGGGCAGCACCGGGAACTGGTTAGCGATGCAAACCTCAGACCCCAGCCCAGACTTAGGGAATCGGACCCTGTGGGGCGGGCCCTCCAGGTGAGTCTGATGCCGGGCTGTGAGAGCCACAGCTGTAAGCAGTTTTCCCTGCTACTTCGCCTATCAGTAACATCACGACTGGTGCGCACGCGTGCTCATACGTAACCAGGGGCTTAGGCACGCACTGTCCGGTGCAGCCTTTTGCTCTCTTTATGTCCTTTTAGCAGTGCTGGTGAGATAGGGGCTCTGCTTTCTAAACGATTTTATCAGAACCTGAACTTCACTGGGTGCACGCTGTTGATGCAAGGAACGGGAAATGCGGTTTGGAAAGGGTTGCAAGTTAATGGTGTTTTCCCAGTTATTTTAAAAATGTTTCCTAACTTTTGTGTGTGTGTGTGTTTTTGCCGTTTAATAGTGCGAGATATTCCAAGAACACTGTAGGAAGAACACGTTCCACGGGAGGTGTAAGTTATCTTTTTCTGTTTTCATGTGATTTTTCTCTTTTTGACGACACGAATAACTGACATTTGGTGGGCGCCTCGGAGCCACGGGGAGGTCACTGGGCGAGCTCGTGTTTTGTTGTGGTGACGGAGTGTTTTCCTCTTCCTACCGCTTCTTCCATGTAATGGAGAGAGGGGTTCGGGCTTTGAATCTTTTTCCCGGACCGAGCCTGGTTTTATTTTCACTCGGCTAACTGGCGCTGTTTAAAAGTATACAACTTTCTGTGTGTTGCTGTTTTCATTTGTGGCCATTTCTCCCTGTATTATCGTTTTAAACAACTGTGTATGGTTTCACGGTATCCCACTTACCCACATTACAGCTTCACTGTAAGGGAGGGTCTTAGACTAAGTCGGTGGCAAAGGCAGGACATTTCTTTAACACTCTGGGTAGCCAGTTTCAAATTACTCTCCAGGGTTGCCCATTTGGCATTGGCAGTGGACACTAAGACGTAGGAACGGTGTCGGAGGGTGCCTGCTTGCAGGGTGCCGGTCAGGGAGTCGCTCTGCTCTCTGTCCCGCCCTGGCTGGCTGGCTGCCTTGTGTGGTGTCCTGCCTGCTGCCCTAAGGCCCCCAGAGGGATGCTCCTGCAGGGGCCGCTCAGCTCTCTACTCCCCCAGCCCTAGGTGCTCGTTCTGTGCATGGATTTCTCTCTGCCCGAAGTCCGGTGTGCAGGCGGGATTTCTCTGAGTGCTGCCAGCCCCCTTAGCTAAGTCCCGAGAGCCTGGGACGGGTTTCTTCAGCCCTCCTGCCCTCCCCTCCTGTGGAAGGCAGCTTCGCCTCGGGAGGATGGCGGGTCTGCCTCTTCTTGGGCATCCCACCCCAAACACTCCTTGAATACTTTCGGGGGGGGGGGGGGGAGCTGTCAGTGATCAAGGTTTTGTTCTGTCAGCTTTCCTCCATCTTGTTTGTATCTTCCAGAATCTCCTCGTCTGTTTTCCAGAGCTACTACGGGCGTTTTTCTCATTTTCTCTGATTTGGTCTTTCGTGAGGGTTTTGGGTAGCAAACTTCATGGGGCTTATCTGTCTATTGAACTGCAAGCCCCGGACTCCGCCTCGACCAGGGTTCTAACCCTGGGTATCCTCAGAACTGCTGATGGCCCTTCAGACCTGGGGCTGTTCTGGGTCGAGGCCCATCACTTCCGTAGGTCAGGGGTTGGCGGACTACGGACCGTGGGCCCCTGCTTGTGTCCAGCGCTGCAAGCTGCGGATGGCTTTCACATTTCCAAACGGTTGGAATGAAGGAGGAAGTATCCCATGACATGAGAACGTGCTGTGAATTCAGGTGTCAGGTCCATAGTGAAGTTTATCCAGCACAGCCACGCTCCCTCTCTGCGCCGTCCCCCAGCTCTCACGCTAATGGCTGAGCTGAGTCACTGTCGCAGGGCCCTGCGGCCTGCCAAGCCTCAGGTCACTACTGTCTGGTCCTTTATGGAAAAGTGCGCCCGCTCCTGCCGCAGATGATCAGAGGGGTCTGTGTGCGTCACCCCCGACCCCGCTCCCAGAAGTGTGAAGGGCGCTTCTGTCGGCCGCAGCGCCAGCAGGGGTGTCCTTGCTGACAAGTCGATCGGATTTGTGCTGTTCTTGTTCGTAAAGCCGATTCCGTGACTGACTTCATTCACTTTCAGAAAGCCGGCCAACCCCACAAGCCCACTGACGTGTATGATTTTTCTGAGAATTCTGGAATCTCGAGCGTGGGCAGGATGAGTGAAAATGAGAAAGATGAAGAACCTTACGAATCCTTTGGTGAGTGTTTCAAACCTTCATCCTAAACGCTTTAGAGTAGTTGAAGCAGTAACATTCAGGCTAGTTAGTAATAAAAAGATAGAAGTATCTTCAAATATAAAACTCAGTTGCCTGCATATGAATAGAATGTTCGGGGCAGTTCTTGGTGATTTGAATTAATTTTTCTCACTTCTGAGTCGATTGGAACCCAGAGCTCCACTAAACACTATCAAAGTAGAACTCTTCTAGGAGCATCGGTCCAGCCGTCATACCAGGTCGCCTCGTATAGTGTCTGTAAAGGGCCTGGGTTTAGGGAGAAGAGGGGGGTAAGTTCCCCTTTTCTTAAACACAGCGAGGCAGAGGATGCACCAGAGAGCCAGGGAGAGCTTCCCTGTCCTGGTGGGAGAAACCGGCTGGTGCCTGGCTGCCCAGCAGTGTGTCCGGAGGGACGGCTTCTGTCCGCATCACTGCCCACTGCAGAGGCCAGAAATGGTACAGAAAGTGGGGTTATCTTTTCACTGTTGAGTTCTAAGAGTCCAGCTTGTATGACTGGTTACATAGGGAAATTCAGGATTGATCTGTTCCTCTTTTTTTCCTTGTTATCCCCAGCAGTGAATCAATCCCTTTGCCTGGTGGAGGGCAATACAGAGTATATTGCTAACTTTAAAATGGTGCAGTTGGTGAGAAGTTCATTATTTAAGCAGCTGTTTGAAAAGATGTGTAAATTGGTGTTGGGGTCCAACCCCAACAGGTGCAGGGGTCCCCAAAGGTGTGGACGGAGTCGGCGAAGACTATCCATCCTCTTCCTACGGTGGAGCCCTATCCGTCCCGAGTGCAGGGCGCTTACCTAGGGGTCCCTGTTGGGGCGCCAGATGCTGGGGTCCAACCCCAGCAGGTCCAGGGATCCCCAAAGGTGTGGACGGAGTCGGCGAAGAAGGAATGACACAGAGACAGTGTTCAGTTGATCAGCAGCCTAGCCAGCATCTCTAGCCAAGTTCTGGTCAGGATCTCCAGCGAAGTTCTGGTTAGGATCTCCAGCCAGGTTCTGTGTCCATGTTCTCTTGCTAGGTTCTCCAGCCAGGTTCTCCTGCCAGGTTCTGTAGCCATGTTCCCTCGCTAGGTTCTCCAGCCAGGTTCTGTCCAGGTTCTCCAGCCAGGTTCAGTCACCAGGTTCTAGTCAGGTTCTTTTGCCATGTTCTATCCAGGTTCTGTCTTTAGGTTCTTCAGCCAGGTTCTCTCGCTAGGTTCTGTGGCCAGTTTCTGTCCAGGATCTTTTGCCATGTTCTCTCCAGCGAAGTTCTTCTGTCTCTAGGTTCTGTGTAGGTTCTGTGTCTAGGTTCTGAGTCCTGTTGTCTTGTTACATCTGTATTTATACCAGTTGATTCAATCCTATCAATCTCTATTACAAAGGTTAGGGCGTTTCTTATCTCCATTCCAGGGAGTAAAGATTATGTAGCTTAAGCATGATTGTTCGTAGTTAAAGTGATTAATTACCCGCCTGGCACTTAGTTAAGAGGTTTTAGTCCCTCCCTAACTTCAGGGGAAAATCCCTACCTGGGGAAACAACCTTTCTCAGAGATGTGACCTTGGTTAAAACACATAGTGCCAAGAAGGTGAGCAAACATATTAAGAACAGTATGCCATATATGCCAGGTCCCTTGAAACAGCAAGGATGGACCGGCTCCCGGCAAATTGGCACTGCCGTGCTAAAGTTTGAGTGTGAAGAAAGGGTTGTTTGGCTCCCATCAGCATCCTTCTGCCGCCATTCAGCGCCGCCACCACGGCCACCAGCTTCCTTCCCCGGGACCTCCACCGGCCCAGAGCCCCACCCTGCCAGCTCTCCTGTTGGCCTCTGACAGCATCTCCGTCTGTGCCTTTCCGCCGCGGCCACTCGGTCTCCTCTTAGATCTTCCCTATTCGGGTTAACTTTTCATGTGAGCTCAAGGCTCTAGCGAAGAGGGGGAGGGAGGACTGGAGTCCGTCACGAACACTGAGGGCCCACCCTGAGCGGGCCGTGGCCTTGGAGTTGATAGTGCGGTGAGCGTGGCTCCATCAGGGGAGGAGAGAGATGTCAGGCTTCCTGTTCGTAGTTACCTTTCCTCTCACGGAGACATTTTCATGCAAGTACTGAGATACAGGCGATCATGGGTAAAGGCCCGCTGACGGCTAATCCGATGTGTATTTGTGAGTGAGATGGTCTACATTTTTCATTGTTGAGATGTGAGATCAAAAACATTTGGGAAGTAGGTGGTGTAATTGATTATTTTGTTAGCCATTTAAACAAAATCACTTTGTGCTCCATTGTAAAGGAACAACCTTAAACCCGCCCAGGCAGACTTTTAACGTTGCACCTTAAATCCTTCTGTAGAGCCTCCTCTGCACAGCACTGCTATCTACAGCGAGGAGGCTGAGCTCTCCCAGCACTGCGGGTCCTTCATCCCTTCACCCCCGCGAGGACAAGAAGCAAGAAGGAGGTACGCTCGTATTCCAGCACCTGTGTGTTTCATTCATGGCTAATGGGATTTCTGAGCTCTTTAGATGGGGACCACCCTCCCCCCCCCACCCCACCCCACCCCAAGATTCATCCGTCTGCTCCGTGCTTCCATGTCTCTGGAGAATTATGTGTTCTGTTATGTTTTTCACTCATTTGACCGATATGAATAGATTTACTATAGTAAACCATCTTTGCATTCTGGGATAACCTATTGGTTTGACCTCCTTGCTGATCTTAAATTTTTTTTTCTTTTTTAATGTTTTGTTTGTTTTTTTTTACTTAGTATTTTTTTTTCTGTCCTGTGTTTTTAAACTTTGTCATTTTGTTTGGGGTGTATCTTTGTTTGAAGTAATGTTGTTTGGCTTCTTTTTTAAAAAAGTTATTTTTTAAAAATCTTATTTTCATAAGAACACTTAGCATGAGATCTACCCTCTTAACACATCTGTAAGTGTCCAGTGCAGTGGGTTAGCTATAGGTGCAGTGCTGTTCAGCCGAAATGTAGAATTTCACTGAAACTTCATGCCACTTCATGTCCCCAGCCCCTGGCAACCACCATCCCCTTCTCTGGTTCTGCGGGTCTCCCTTTTTCAGATCCCTCCTCTAGGTGAAGTCACGCAGTGGCTGTCTTTCTGTGGCTTGCTTATTTCACTCTGGATCACGTCAACTTCAAATTCTTACATATGCTCCACCTCAGGGCCTTTGCGTATGCCAGTCCCTGCGCCTGATGGCTCTTCCTCTGTGATCTGCATGGCTTGCTACTGCGCTTGCTTTTAGATTTCAGGTGTCAGCACAGCGCTCTACTTGGATAAAATTCATAGAGAATACCACCTTTCTTCACCAGCACATCTTTGCTGCTCTTTTTCTTACGGCATTATCTCTACCCGACCAATGTTTTATGTTCATTGTTAAATGTGTTCATTACGTCTCCCCAGTAGGAGCATCTTTTTTAAAAAGCAGGACTTCGTTCTTTTCACTGCTGTTCTCCGGGTGCCTAGAACGTGACCCTGGCACACGATAGGCAATGAGTGAATATTTGAATTCATTCCTATTCACAGTGTCGTGGTTAAGGTGACGGGGCCTCAGCCCGTTGTGCTGGTTCAGATCCTTATTCTGCCACTGTCAAGTGCTCGGCCTGGGTCCGACATAAGACATTAACTTCTAGGCTCCCTCATCGGGAAATGGGATGATAATACAACCTGCCTCATGATCGTTTCAAGATCAGTTTATACTCTCAGGCTTTAAATCGGGTTGGCATCTAGTAAACTTTGAAATGGTAGCTTTTTATTTGGCACTTTTCCAACAAGCATTTATTGAGCACTAAGTACCAGGCACTGTATTAATAACTCAAAATGAGCGTAATCCTGTCTTCATGGAGCTTATGGAACAGGAGGTACTCACAAGGAGTCACTGGCAAATCACTCGGGAGGGCGTGGCCTCTGAGTTGGAATTAGGAGGGGAGAGGAGCGGGTGCAGGTGGGTCCCGATGGCACAGCCGCTGCCGGCTGTTGACCAGCTGAGGGCGCTCTGGCTGCGTGGCCAGCTCCCCGGTCCCATGTTGTTCTCTCCCCTAGCATTGCCGTCTCTGTCACAGCACATTCCAGGAACATGCCGTTGTTTCACACCACCGTGCCTTACACTTACTTTTCCTTCTACCTGACATACCCTTTCCTGTTTCTTTTTTTTTCTTTTTCGGTGTAGATTTTTTTTTAAATATATTTTATTGTTTTTTTACAGAGAGGGAGGGAGAGGGATAGAGAGTTAGAAACATCGATGAGAGAGAAACATCAATCGGCTGCCTCCTGCACACCCCGCACTGGGGATGTGCCCACAACCAAGGTACATGCCCTTGACCGGAATCGAACCTGGGACCCTTCAGTCCGCAGGCCGACGCTCTATCCACTGAGCCAAACCGGTTAGGGCATTCGGTGTAGATTTTGTCTTTATTCAGTGATCTTAAACAAGCGACTGTGAAACATTAAAGAACCGGCCATTGTTCTTTCCTGTGTTTCTTTGCCTGGAAAAGTATTTTTAAAAGTCAACTCAGGTGTCATAGCTATGCTGTCTTTTCTCATCCCCAGCCATCTGTCCTCGTCTTCTCTGTCCATTGCTTGCCAAGTCATCGCTTGGCATTATCTTTCATCTTCCTGCCACACAGGGAACCTTCAAAGGAAGACTCTGAATTTTTAAAGTAATTTTATTCACTGTACTCTGCATTTTGAGATTGTGTTAAATGTTTGTTGTATTGAATTGAATGCAGAAGATGAAAGAACTCATCTATCACCGGAGGTTCAGGGTTACTTTTTCTAAGGACAAAAGGAGTATTCCCACTTATTCCACCTAATGATGGGCCTGGTGTGTGCAGGTCTGCTTTTAGTACACATGATAGACCTGGGCGTGGTGACTCCGAGGAGGGTGCAGTTCTCAGATGTGACCACAAGGTGCTGCTGTAATGGGACACTCAACAGTACTTCCTACCAAGGATAAATGGATGTGGCCTGGGGGTGACGGGGGAGACGACCAGCGCATCTTGGCAGGTGGCAGCCCCACCCATGACAGGCGGGAAATTTCATTCAGTGGAGCTTATTCTCTTGTTGGGCAAGCAACTTAAAACATGTAAATGAAAATGAAATGTGTACAAGATATTGACGGCTCATTCTTTGGCACAGTCCGAACGCTTCTGAAACTGAAGACAGCGAAAACGAGCCTGTGAAAGTTAGTGCGAAAAAGGTATGTCGGGGTGTTCTCTTCTCTTCCTTAATTTTTAGGGATAGCTCATATCCTGCTTAGGTTGGCTGACAGTAGAGAAAATGTTCCATAAAATATTCCATATCCTGTTTAGATTGGGTGCAGATTTAAAAAAGTTCTGTGGCAATGTTTTCCATAGAGGAAGAGTATTATGTTTTAGAAGGTACTTTTTAGATAAGTGAAATGTCTTTATGTCTGAAGTGTTTTCCATGACAGAGGTCTCATATCTCCGTGTACCTTGTCAGTTGTAACGTTCGCGTACTGTGTTTAGGTTGTGGTTTACAAAGACAGACCTGTGTACTGGGAGTATGTGGAGCTTTCTTTACTCTGGGTTGCCTGTCCTACCCCCTAATCTTGTCATCTCCCTGTTCCATCTTGAAGTTTAGAAATGGGAAGTGTGGGCTTGATGGTCAGCTACTGTTACGATAAGAGTGATAAGCATTTGTATTTTCTAAAGCAGTAATGCTGTTTTCTTGGCATAGCGAGGAAGAAAACTCAAGCCCATTAGTGATGAATCTGAAAGCTGCAATGAAAGGGATAAACCAGAGAAAATAGGTAGCCAGCGACCTGAAGCTGTGTCGCCTTCAGAACTTTCGGAGAAGTCAGCTGAACTTGGCACTTCTGAAAAGGTAGGACCTCCTGGTGCCAGCTCCTCTGTTGAGAAAGAGACCCGGCAACAGAGAGTCTACTGGTACGAGTGTCTGCCATTTCCTTGGTGAGAGAGAGAAGTTGATTGAAAATGTTTAAGAGGGTCCTAGCTGGTTTGGCTCAGTGGATAGAGCATCAGCCCAAGGACTAAAGGGTCCCGGCTGGAATAGATTCCAGTCAGGGTGTGTACAGGGAGGCAACCAATCGATGTGCCTCTCTCACATCTCTGTCTCTGTCTCTCTCCCACCCTACCATTTTTGCCAAAAATCAATGGAAAAATATCCTCAGGTGAGGATTAACAACAACAACAAATGTTTAGGAGGAGAATAAAACATGTTTCTCTTTCCTTCAGTTTTTAAGAGACTTTTTATATCTTTTATTATAAAATACTAGAGGCCCGGTGCACAAAAATTTGTGCACTCGTGGGGGAGGGGGGTGCCTCAGCCCAGCCTGTGCCCTCTCACATTTGGGACCCCTCAGGGGATGACCACCTGCTGGCTTAGGCCCGCTCCCCAGGGGATTGGGCCTAAGCTGGCAGTCAGACATCCCTCTGGCAGCCCAGGAGCCCTCAGGGGATGTCCACTTGCCAGCAGGGAGCAGGCCTAAGCTGCAGTTGGACATCCTTAGTGCTGCTGAGGAGGCAGGAGAGGCTCCCACCACCACCGCTGTACTGACAGCCGTCAGCCTGGCTTGTGGCTGAGCAGAGCTCATGGGAGCACACTGACCACCAGGGAGCAGCTCCTGCATTGAGCATCTGCCCCCTGGTGGTCAGTATGTGTCGTAGTGACCAGTCATTCCCAGTCGTTCTGCTGTTAGGGTCAATTTGCATATTACCCTTTTATTATATAGGATAGAGGCCTGGTGCATGGGTGGGGGCCGGCTGGTTTGCCCTGAAGGGTGTCCCGGATCAGGGTGGGGCTCCTGTTGGGTGCCTGGCCAGCCTGGGTGAGGGGCTGAGGGCTGTTTTCAGGCTGGCCACACCCCCTTCAGGGTGGGGGTCCCCGCTGGGGTGCCTGGCCAGCCTGGGTGAAGGGCTGATGGCTGTTTGCAGGCTAGCCACGGCCCCCAGCCACCCAAGTTCCCAGTGGAGGCTGGCTGGAAGCAGGTATCTGGGATTTATTTATCTTCTATAATTGAAACTTTGTTCCCTTGAGCGGAGGCCACAGCTGGTCAGGGCAGGTGGGAGGCTTGGCTTCCTCCATCGCCAAGGCAACCAAGCCTCCTGCTTGCTCCAGCTCTGTGGCTGCCGGCCGCCATCTTGGTTGGGTTAATTTGCATATAGTTGCTGTGATTGGCTGGTGGGCATGGCTTGGGGAGTAGCGGAGGTGCAGTCAATTTCCATGTTTCTCTTTTATTAGATTAGATTTTTATTTTAGAGTATTTGTAAAGTATGGAAAGAAAGATAAACTATCATACAATTCTATCACCCAAATTTGGCCTTTAGTTTTTTTACTAATTTTTTTCTCATTCTAAATAGGACCAACTGCTTTCAGAGTTGTTTATGGCAAGAGCTGTGACTCCATCGTAACCTGAAAGCAGCTGATTCCACACATTATCTTAAATAATAAAAGTTCAACTTCCTCCAAGGCAACCGTTGTTAAGTATCTGCTGGAAGGTTGTTTTGGGGGTTGGGGGAGACAGTTTAATTTCTTTCAGTGTTTCCTTATATCAATTTAGATAATTTGTAGAATTCACTAATATTAACTTAGAAGTAAATAAGAATTATGGCTATAATAGTAACTGACAGTGTCTGATAATACTGTCTTAATCCTTTTAAGAAAAAGAAAACAGCATTTGTGAACTTGCTTCCCAGCAATTGTCATGAGCTTGGCTCAAATAAATCTTACACTCACCACCCCCCCCCACCCCCCCGCAAAAAAAAAAAGAAGATGAAAAACTTAAGTAAAATTCTTTGCTGTATTATTTTTATAGAAAACTCAGAAAAAGAAGGCGTATCGTGGCAAAAGAAAGAAATCAAGAAGCGAAGCCATGGACTCAGGTACAGAAGAGTGGGTTATGTTTGACAGCTAGCTACTCAATGATTCCATTTAAAAACCCTTAGTTCCTTATAGTAGTTAAAAACATGTGACTTTGGAGTAACTTTTTTCCCCAGCATCTATCATGAAAATTTTCAACAAACAGCAAAGGTGAAATATTTTACAATATATATATATATTCAGCACCTAGATTTTTCTATTAAAATTTATTCTCTTTGCTTTGTCAACTATCCATTAATCCATTTTAATTTTTCATCATATAGAATATACTCATTTCAGACATAATTTAGCATGTGATTTTTTTCTATAAGACTTCCTTCATTTAGCATAACTGTTCTCAGACTCATCCATTTATTTTGCATCATTTTTATTCACCCAAAAAGCTTATTGAAAAATGTTTCAGAGGAAAATAAAGCATTTTCTATTTACTTCAGTTTTTTTAAAGGAAAAGTTATATATTTTTGTTATAAAAATGATTATTTTAGAAAATTTATAATATATAAGGAAAATAAAACCCTCTAATTCCATCACCCCAAAATAAATGCCATGTTTTTTGTCTGTATTTTTTAATACTTTTATTGAGCTTTCTCATCTGAAATGGGATCATATTCTCATCATATTTCACTATATCCTAAGTATTCTACAATGCCATTTTAGAAGATATTTTGTTCAAGAATATGCTGTAGTTTTGTTAGAGATTGACATCTATGCTAATAAAAGGGTAATATGCTAATTAGATCAGGACACCTTCCGGGAGACCTTCCGGACGTCCTTCTGGACAAAGCTGTGGTGGCAGGGTAGAGGCCGTTAGGGGTGATCAGGCCAGGGGAGGGCAGTTGGGGGTGATCAGGCCGGTGGTGGGGGGAGAGCAGTTGGGGCAAGCAGGCCAGCAGGAGGGGCCAGTTGGGGGTGAGCAGGCTGGCAGGCAGAGTGGTTAGGGGCAATCAGGCAGGCAGGTAGGTGAGCAGTTAGGAGCCAGCGGTCCCAGATTGTGAGAGGGGTGTCCGACTGCCGGTTTGGGATCGGGCCTAAACCGGCAGTCAGACATCCCCGAAGGGTCCCAGATTGGAGAGGGCTGAGGGACACCCCCCCACCCCCGCATGAATTTCATGCACTGGGCCACTAGTCCTATATAATAAAAGCATAATATGCAAATCGGCCGAATGGCTGAAGAGCAGAACGACCATCCAAGTGACCATGTTATGACACCCACTGGCGCCAGGCCAGCCAAGGCGGGTGCGATGAGATTGGTCGGGGGCCTGGCCATTGCCCCATGATCGCCCCACAGAGGGAGGCCCAGGCCACCAGCTGGTGGGGTGATCAATTGGGGGGCTCCACGATTGCCCCAAAGGGAGGTCCAGGCCACTAACTGGCAGACTATGGCGGGTGGGTGGGGCCTCCCTCTGTGAGGGAAGTCCACGTGCTGACGGCCAGAGGGAAGCCTGGGTCCTGGGTACCAGAGTGAAGCCGGTGCCAGCAGCTGGGGAAAGGAAGGCCTACTCTTGCACGAATTTTGTGCATCGGGCCTCTAATGTATATATAACTACAAGTGTCTAAATCGGTACACTGAGCATCTGTTTGAGATCTAGAGGTGGCCTATTAAGTAGAGTAAAAAAGAAAGTATGGCTACAGAGAAGAGCTCTGGACCAGTGGTACTAGACCAGCCGTGGGCAAACTACGGCCGCCGGCCGCATCCGGCCCGTTTGAAATGAATAAAACTATTGAAAAAAAAGACCGTATCCTTTTATGTAATGATGTTTACTTTGAATTTATATTAGTTCACACAAACACTCCATCCATGCTTTTGTTCTGGCCCTCCGGTCCAGTTTAAGAACCCATTGTGGCCCTCGAGTCAAAAAGTTTGCCCACCCCTGAGCTAGACGATTAAATAAAGGCACAGCACAGTGATGAACAGGCAGCAGTGCTTCGGGCTGCTTTATCGGAGGTGAATATGGGAACCACTGAGACAGCAGTTAGGGCAGCGGTTCTCAACCTGGGAGCCGCGACCCCTTTGGGGGGTCGAATGACCCTTTCACAGGGGTCACCTAAGACCATCGGAAAACACATGTATAATTACATATTGGTTTTGTGATTAATCATTATGCTTTAATTATGTTCAATTTGTAACAATGAAATTGGGGGTCACCACAACATGAGGAACTGTATTAAAGGGTCGCGGCATCAGGAAGGTTGAGAACCGCTGAGTTAGGGTGACGGTATAGACGGGGCTTTGGGGCCTGCGCTGGGGCAGGAGCAGTGAGCATGTCTCCTCCATATGCTGCTTCAACTGCCGCTAGTGAGCAGTTGGTGGGATGATTTTTGTTGTAGGCTTGCAGAGCCCTGGACTAGAGCCAAAGTATTGATAACCCGCATATGACATTGGTTTATCTTAATGTTCTAGGTATGCCAGACTGTGCACATATTTGGTGTCTACAAGGAAAGCAAAGCAGTGACATCATGGACTTAGATGTTGTTTTGTCAGCACTTGAGGAAACCCTCCCCGAGTATAAGTAAGTGGTGATGGGATGTATGTACCCGATTTCCCCTGAAACACCACTTTTGCTTATCCCACAGCTTTTGATATGTAGTATTTTCATTATTCAGTTTTACAGATTTTTACACTTCCATGATAATTTTTCTTTAACCCTGTGAATTATTTAGTAGTATGTTTATATCCAAATATGTGACTTTTTAGTTTATATTTTTGTATTAACCTTCTATTTTATTTCAAATATGTTGTCAAATCTCATGAACTGGTGATACCCATCTTTTTAAATAGTGAGGCTTTCTTTCTTTCTTTTTTTTTTTTTGTTAATCTTCACCTGAGGATATTTTCCCATTGATCTTTAGAGAGAGTGGAAGAGAGAGGGGGAGAGACACAGAGAGAAACATCGATGTGAAAGAGACACATGGATTGGTTGCTTCCTGCACACACCCCGACCAGAGCCGGGGAACAAGCCTGAAACCGAGGTACATGCCCTTGACCGGAATCAAACCCAGGACCCTTCAGTCTGCCAGCCGACACTCTATCCACTGAACCAAACTGGCTATGGCTGTGTCAAGATATTTTTAAATTTCCCTTGATATTTCTTTGATCCATTAATTGTTCAAGACTGTGTTAATTTCCATATATTTTTAAATATTCCTTTTGCTAATGATTTCTAGTTTATTCCATTGTGGTCTGAAAAAGTACTTGTATGATTTTCATCTTGTTAAACTGGTGGCTTATTTTGTCTCCTCACATGTGGGATGTCGTGGGCATGTTCTGTGTGCTGCAGAAGGACGTGTGTTCTGCCGCTTTGGGTGGAGTGTTTGTAAAGGTTTCTCAGTTCCCGTCGGGTCAGTGTTCAAGTCCTGGCTACCGTGTGGTTACGTCCTTATTGAAAGTGTTTCCGTGTGGCTGTTCCTGCACTTGCCTGGCAGGCTGCAGCTCTTTACGTGGTTTTGGGAATGCACATAAAGGCTTTGGGGCCTGATTCAGCTGCTAAGTCGGTTTCCCTGTGGGGAATGAGGTCTGGGGCTTCCTCTTTCACTGTCTTGCTGATGCCACTAGAAATACTAGTTAACACGTATTTCATGAGAACTTTGATACAAAGGTCTGTACTGAAAGATGCAGCCGGCTTTTGTGCACTCGTCACTTCTGAAGAATCACAAGGGCACTGGACAGTGTCCTGTGTGCCCAGGCCGAGCAGGGGGCCAGCCGCAGCCTGGCCGTGTCTGCTGCTGACTCGGTCCCTGTGCGTCTGCCACTCGCCATGAGGAAGCCAGGCTGGGAGACCGCACTCTTCTCTCTCGTCCCAGGTCCTGAGTCGGGGTCTTTTTCAGGGTCCGCTTTATAGTTTTCCAAGGATGGGCAGCTGGCTTTTGGCTCCTTACTTGTTGGTCAGTCCAGACGTGTTACACAAGTACTCCTCCAGCTGTTAGCAGGCAGGAGGTAGGAGCTGAAGTCTGCTGGTCATTGGATCGGGGGCAGGAAGACCGCATGTCCACATCACGTGGCATCACCTGCAGACATGGCCAGGGTCAGGATCTGAAGCTGACCGCATACCCGAGGGTTTACGGAAAAGTGTTTCCTGTTCTTTTTCTTTTGTTGAGACATTTCCAGTATTTTTAAGCCTGAGAAGGACTGATCATGCCGTCCTAGGTATTCAAAATGCTCTATGGAAAATTGTGTTGATGTGATAAGCAAAGTGTTTGTGTCACTCTTTCACAATCCTTTTTTTGATACCTAGTTTGATCCTTTTTTAAAAAATTCTGTTACAGACAAAGCATAGAATCTAAAATTTGCCAGGAAGCAGTCGGCAAATTCCATTCTAGTATGAAAGAAGAGCTCATCAGAATGGTAAGTTCACTGACACACATTTTCTGGTCTAAATCTTTTTTACTAGTCCCGAGGCGCATACAGATATTGTGGAAGGACTGCATGTGCTGGCAGTGTGGGAATTGGCAGTATTTCACATGTGTTAAAATAAATGTGATTATATTATAAACTAACATTTAATTTTGGAAAATGTCATGCGGATATTTTGTTTCGTGTAGCTTGCGGAAGTCCAGATGTTGAAAACTCTGAGGAGGAGGAATGCTAAGGTAAATCACTTGTGATTAGAAGCTCATGTCGCCGAGTAGAGACTTGCCGGGGTTTTATGCCCTTCCGTTTGTATAAGGTGTTTATCTTTTTAATCTGGCTTTTATCTGGCTGGTCTTGTGGTTGAGAACGGTTAGTGCACGCTAAGGAAGGGAAATGGCTATGAAGCCCCAAATGGGTAAGGCCTGAGTAATGCGTGTTCATCACTTTGGTGGATGTAAACAAGCAAAGCCTTTAGAGTAAAGAGCTGTCCCACGTCCCAGGGGACGGACAGCCTGGGAGAACACGGGTTGAGGGTGAGGAGAGCTCATTTCCTGTCCTGGCTCGGCTGCTCGAGTGTGGCACTGCCTGAAAACTGTCCACCAGCAGGTGTGCCAGGAGCCTAGGCCCCGTCTGTTTATGGACCCAATGACCCCGAGGTTCTGGCTCTAAACTTGCATGAATCGGGAGTGGAAGAGCAGCTGCCCCTCTGCCTTTACGGTAGAAATGGGTTAGAAACATACACCTTTGCCTGCCAGTGACGACAAGGCTTTGCTCCTGGTTTATCCTATCGTTTTAATCTCTGGTCAACTCTGCGTTGTCTGTACGTGGGAACAGTCTGAATGCCCAGCAGTGGAGTATTACGTAGTCACTCAAAGTGCTGGCTACAGGAATAAAATTGATTATACTGAAATGTTCTAAAAGTGCACCCCGACCCTGCCAACCCGTTCCAATGTTTCCGAGTGTGCCAGGGTAAAATCGAAACTTCTCTGTGTCTCAGTGAAGCTCTGGCCCCCACGTCTTTGAAGCCCTGGCGTAAATAGCCCTGCTCTTCTCCCAGAGTTCCCTGCTTCCCTTCAGAGCACACGGTCAGAAGCTGTAGTCACACACTGTTTGTACATAACGTCTCTTTCCCGAAAAGTTCCATGATGGAAAGAATGGGGTCTTGTTTCCCACTTACTTCCACTGTACCACAGTATACTCGGTGGCACTCAAATATTTGTGAACTTAATTTAACAAAGGAATTTCTGTGTCACTTAGACGATTTCAGATATTGAAAAGAAAAGGCAGCGTTTGGTTGAAGTCCAGGATGAACTGCTTTGGTAAGAGAACGTCAGAGGCCTGAGGACTTCCCTGGAGGGACTGGGACATGCCCATGGGCTGGAGGATCTGCTGCTGGGCTGTGTGAACCCAGGTTTGCCCGGAGCTCAGGAGCAGCTTTTAGCAAAGGAGAATCAGCACTGCTCTCTGCCATCAGAGCTCAGCCTGGGCTGCACAGACTCCAGAACCAAACTGCCTGGGTTTGAATCCAGGCTCTGCCACTTACGGGCTGCACAACTGTGGGCAGGTTCCTTAACCTCCCAGGGCCTCGCGCCTTCATTTGTAAATAAGCATAAGACCTTCCCCTCACACAGTTATGAGAACCGAATGGATAAATATACAGGAAGTGCTGTGTGTTCACGGTTGTTGACGTTACTGTCGCAGCGTGTGCCTTGGTGACACTCGTGCAGATCCATTCCCCAGCTTTGGGAAGCCAGCCGCCGAGAGACAGCCGTTTCCCCAGCCACGGGGGCAGTTCCCCCCGCCCCTGAATATTTTTGGACCTTGGAAATGGACAAGATTGTGATAGGGCAAAAAGAAGGCTTTTTGTCCATGCTTTTGCTGTTGCCTGTCTATTCCTGCCTGAGGCTTTTAATCCCATAGTCCCCAAGACCCTAAAAATGAGTTTTAGGCTTTATAGGCAAGTCGCCAACCTTTCGGACCTCACGGACCACCAGTGGTCTCCGGACCACATGTTGGCGACTGCTGATATAGGGCATATTCTTCTGTGGACTTCATTCTGCATCATATTTCAGAATTTTAAACAGAAAATTAGAATCTTTCACACATTCATAATTTCAGAGCCAAACATGCCTTGAACTATCCAGTCCATCACCCCTGTTTTTTCTAACTTCGCTCAGTATATCTACAACTCAGACTCATACACTTTATGTAGACTGTTATTATTCTATGTCATTTATTTTTAGGGAAACTTTGTGTGTGTGTGTGTGTGTTTGTTTTTTGTTGTTGTTTTTTTGCTTTAGTTTAGAACCACAGCTGAAACAACTACAAACAAAATATGATGAACTTAAGGAGAGAAAATCTTCTCTGAAGGATGCAGCATGCTTCTTATCTAATTTAAAGCAGCTTCATCAAGATTATTCAGATATTCAGGAGAGACAACCAAATGTAAAGGAAACGGTAAGTTCTGTTTACTTTTCACTGTGCTTCGTACCAGAAGCTACGAGGACTTGAGAAACGTAGATGCAGCATAACAGTCTACTCAAAACCGCATCGCTCTAAATCCTTGAAAATGTGTTTGATAAATTTGTACACAGGTAGGGTCCCTAAGCGGCTGCCGGCTGCAGTGCCAGCCAGGGCCTGCCTTTGTTCCATGCCACCCCCTGATGGTCAGCGCACATCACAGCAAGTGGTCAAACTCCTGAGGGGACACTGCATATTAGGCTTTTACATAGAGAGATTTACATTTCAGAGAACCAAATCCCATTCAGGGAAGTAACCCGTTTGTACAAATTTCAAATGAACAACTAGGCTTTATTGTAATTGTTATCATATAAGACCACCCAGACATGTTTTAAAGACAGGCCTGTTTGTGGGATGTTTTTTATTTGAAAAACAAGTCATTATCCCATAAAATGGTAGGTGTAATATTAGAAGTTGAAAAACATAAAAAGGAAATGTAGAAGAAAGTGTGATAGATTGTTTTAATAAATTTTATAGTTGCTTCTCGATTTTTGCTGCAGACTTTGCTACTGTTAGGAGAATCAGCTCATATTAATAGGAATATTTAAGTTTCAGAAAGAAAATTTATATGTATCATGTACATATAGCTTATGACCATATTTTATTCTTCATTTCTAAATCCAGTTTTAAGGTTTCAGTTTTTTTTAATTCTCATTCGAGGACATATTCATTGATTTTTAGAGAGAAAGGGAGAGAGAGAAACATCAATCAACTGCCTCCCTTCCGTGTCCCAACTGGAGATTGAACCTGCAACCTTTTGGTGTATGGAACAACACTCCAAGCAACTGAGCCACCCAGCCAGGCCCAATTTTAGGTTTGACACTGGTCTAAAAGCTAATCCTCCTACAATCAGGTTTATTTGTAGGTTAAAGATCTGGAAATAGAACATTTTTATGTTATTTTTTCCTGTGACAGTACCCAACTAGTCTAAAGGTTGTCATATGGACTTGGAGATTTAGCTACTAAACGTGGAGAAATTGAAACTGAGATAGTGACTCTACCGTGTTTGAATACATTACTCTGTTTCTGTTGTGGCACCTGTCCTTGTTTATAGAGTATAGTTACTTGGGTATATATCTTACCTCTTTTCCTAAACTAAAGCTCTAGTATAAATGTTAGTTCTTCCCCTTCACCCCTCCCTGAGAGCAGGTGCCTCCTGGTAGCTCGAACACCTTAGGTTCTCAAATATGTAACTTAATTCCATTATTATGTGAATGGTATAGTCTGGCAGCTTTTCTGCTCAATTTTCATGTCTCAGAAATCACATTAAACAATCATAATTATAAAATTCTGTAAGGGGAATTTAATTCCTCTCACCCATAGATACAGTTTACAACATGAAGTTTGGCTTTGTTAATTATTTTAAAATCAAGAGTTGGGCTTTTTTTCTATTTTATTTTGGGTTTGTATTCTAATTTTTTTAATCATTAAGAAATTTGGATTGGCAACTTTTAAGACATTCAATTGATCTTCCCAGTAATTTCTCCAGGTGATGGCTTTTTTTCCTTCATGAATTTTCACTTTTATGAGCCTGGAGTGCTCATTCCTTCGGTTCTTACAGTGAAAGTAAATCTGCCTTACACAGGACGAGATCTAGCGACTTGTTTCCATAATTCAAAGGCCACAGTTCTTTGAACTGGTCTGGTATGAGGTCAACTCAAGCCTTGGAGAACAGTTCCCTTGAAACCTATTTATCAATTATGTCCTAAGAAAATGGGTTAAAACAAAATGAACGGCCGAAACCGGTTTGGCTCAGTGGATAGAGCGTCGGCCTGCGGACTGAAAGGTCCCGGGTTCAATTCCGGTCAAGGGCATGTACCTGGGTTGTGGGCACTTCCCCAGTGGGAGATGTGCAGGAGGCAGCTAATCGATGTTTCTCTCTCATCGATGTTTCTAACTCTCTATCTCTCTCCCTTCCTCTCTGTAAAAAATCAATAAAATATATTTTTATAAAAAAAATAAAACAAAATGAACGATCCTACCTCAAAAGATAAGTAGTTAATGGCTAGCTCTATTAAAATCGGCATTGAGCTGTGTGGAACAAATAGGGTTATAATATAAAAGTTATTAGTATTTGTTCATCTAAATGATTTTCCTTCAACAGTATGACTCATCCAGCCTCCCAGCGCTGCTATTCAAAGAAAGAACTCTCTTAGGAGCTGAAAGCCATCTGCAAAATATCAACCATCAATTGGAGAAACTCCTTGCCCAGAAATGAGACCAGTCTGCTAAAACGTGCGGCCTGGGTACAGATGAGTCCCACGCTCCTGCTGCCTTCCAAAGCTCCTGCCTATTGCTGAAGCAGCACTCTTGATAGATGTAAGAAAGTAAACGTGTCTAGTTCAGGCTGGTGTGTGGCCGTGTCACCAGTTTGACTGTACAGTAGCTCGAGAGGACATAATTAACTTGCCAGGTTAGTGTCCTGAGTGATAAGTTAACCTATAAATACGCAAAATTAGCTGATGTGCATACAGACTAACTTTGGTTAATCAATAAGAGATTTCTACTGAATGTAAGTACACTGAATCTAATTTTCAATAAAACTGGTTTACTCCAGTAAAAAACAAGAATTGGAATGCAAAATGATAAAATTAATTGGTATTAACCGATTTAACAAGATACTGTAATTTAATCTGTCTTCAGGCAAATTACAACCTGGTTACAAGTGCACAGTTAATTAGCTATTCTGTAATACTTCCACAATTACTTCGTCAGGAATTTCATCCACTCCACCATTATAACTGGGAAGGCTGTTCTCTGCAGCTTCTGCTAATTCAGCATCCTCAGTAGCTTCCAAGAAATAAGTATCGTCAGGGCCACTGTCCCAGTCAGGGTCAGAGCACACACCTCCTGACGACGCGCCGGATGATGGCACATGAAGGCTCTGGGTCCCATCGTTCATGGTTTCCTGTGTTGCAAACTCTTCTTCCTTTAGTTCCAAAGAGAAGGACGGGATAGGAGAAAACACTGTATTCATTCAGAGTATGTGACGATTTCATAGAGCACCCTGTGTTGGATTAAGGTATAAGACCAGTACAGCAGATATCCAAGTGACTATGCTACATGGTGGTGTCTTTGATACCGTCACCTTGAGAGTGAACTCTCGTTCAAATATTGCTGCCACTGTCGCCAGAACACTCTGGAAATGCCTGCAGTTCCTACAATACATCCTGTTAAAAAAAACAAAAAAACAAAAAACAGGCGGCCTAGAGCAGGGCTAGGTTGATTTTTTTTTTTTTTTTAAAGTGGATAGCCCAGCTGAAGGCAAACTGGAAAGTAGATCTATCTGAACAGACTTAAAGAAACAGTTTAGACAATTGTCAAACTGTGACTGGATTGTATATTATATAATTGTATTGTGTCAACATTAAATTTTCTGAATTTAATAAAATGCTCTTATTCTCCAGCTACATGCTTAAATATTAAGAGATGAAGGGTTTGAAGTTTGCAGCCTTCTTTTAAGAGATTTGTTAAAATTGACTGTTAAATCCTAACACCCCACATGATGGTATTTGGAAGTGAGGCATTTGGGACTGGACTACATCATGAGGGTGGAGCCCTCATTAATAGGATTAGTGCCCTTAAGAGACCCCCAAGAACCCTCCCTTCTGTCACGTGGGACGTAGAAACAGGTGCAACATACCAGCTGCCTTTCTCTGACCGGGAAGCTGGCTCTCATCAGGCAGCACCTTGATCTGAGATTTCCCAGCCTCCAAAACTGAGCAGTAATGTCTGCTGTTTAGAAGCCACCTGGTCTGTGGTTATAGAAGCCCCAAATGACAGAGACATAAGTTTAAAACCGAAACCATTTATATAGTGATAACACTATACCAAGAGTACTTCCATCTGGCATTTTTGAGGGTTGACTAGATAAGCAGACCCACTGAAACCATAAACATGCTCAAAATAATACTCCAGGTAAAACAAGGATGATATTCTTCCTCTTAGAGGCAGTTTATTTTTTTATTTTTTAAAAATTTATCAGAGACTCTGACTACCAGCTATTTAGTCCAGCTTCTAGAGACCAAGAATGAGACTCTACATTTCTAAGCACTTACTTAGCTGATGTTGGCTAACCTTTATTCTAACCGTAACACTCAAGGACAAGGCTGATAGATGGGTGGTGGGGAAACCAACCAATAAAAAGTCTGGAAGATAACGTGGCACTAGAGTACTTAAGGCCACATAGAAGAAAAGTGGACAGTTATAGGCAATCTATTAAATCTGAAAAAAGTTCAACTTCATTATTAAGAATGTAAAACAACTAAAATACCACTTTTTTGCATAGTAGGTCGGTAAACATTAGAAGGCAAAATGTAGGGTAGCAGGTGCTCTCATAAACTGAAGTGGAGAGCAATTTGGTAATATTGAAAATACTTCTGATAGTTTAGGAATAAAAGCTTACAAAACTGTGTGTGTGTGTGTGTATGTATATATATATATGAGTGCATATGTATATGTGTATTGTATACATATATACACACACATATATATGTATATGCATACTCAGATACAAATTCTGGAAGATACATACCAAAACATTTACATCAGCTATATGCTATATATATAAGTGAGGATGATTTTTCCCCCTTTCAATTTTTATGTATTTTCTATTTTCTGCAATGAATATAAATTATTTTGGGTAAGAAAGTTTTAAAAGGAAAAATGTTGGTTTGGCAATCTACCACAATTTAAAATGTGTACATTCCCTTTGACATAATTCTACTTCTAGAAATTCTTCCTGCAGATTTATTTGGTTTAAAGAAACACAAAGATGAGTATTTTTGTATACTTTGTGAAGCAAAACTTTGCTAACACTTGGGACTGGTTAACAGATATGGAGCAGCGCCAAAGAATGCGGTGCGCTGATATGAACAGCGCTACACCTCGTTTCCCACAGTGTGTAAAAACTGGACACATTTGGATGGACACTACTCATAGCTTTTATACGTTGTACCAAGGACTAAGTCAGGAGAGAAACTAAAATCTGCACTTACCTCTTTGAGAAGAAACGGGAGGCATATTTCAGCAGGTAAAGGAAAACCTGAATCGGAAAGAGAGTGGAACTGTTTTACACAGACATCTAATCTTCAGTTTGTGGTAAATGTAAAATTTAATAACTCACGGTCAGATTTGAAGTTTTCCGCTTTACATATGGGGTCATGACATTTTTGATACCAAACTTCATTTTTCAGATCAACCAAAATCCTTTATGTTAAAAAAAAAAAAGTTATTTAATAGCCAGAATAGATAGAAAATTCAGCTACATGCTCTTTATAAGAGCTATGCTAATTCTTAAAGATGGAGAAAATAAAAATTTAAAAAGTAAAAAATATACACCAAGCAAAAGAAAACTGATTGCCAAAAATATACAAAGTGGACTTGCGGGCAAAAAAAATACATCTCCCAAGAAAAAATACATTTCCTACTCTGTACCCAATTAACACATTGTATGCGGGAAACGTGTTTACATGTTTTACGTATTTATACGTTCTACCAGTGTAGTAGAGCACGGGACACATATTAGTACGTTTTTTATAGACTAGCGGTAGAATGCGGGTAACGTATAAATACGTAAACTAAAGTTATCGTAATTTTACTGAACGTTGCCATTTGCGCAAAAAATTAGCAAAAATGGCCCGCGCCACCTGTTAGCGCGCGATAAAAACTACCCGCAAACAATGTGTTCAGATAGCTTCAAAGTACAGGTGGGGCAAAAGTAGGTTTACAGTTTTCATATGGAAAATAATACAATAGTAAACTCGGTTTTTCACATACTCAACTGTAAACCTACTTTTGCCCCATCCTGCTTGTGAGCAAAATTGATAATTTTATGAACAAACAAACCTTTTACCATAAGTTGAGATTTAAAAAAAAAACATTCGTTTGATAAGTGACACAACAAATAACCAATCAGTAAGGATATAGGAAATTTGAATTACATAATTAAAAAGCAATTAACGGCTCGGCCAGTGTGGGTCAGTGATTGAGCGTCGACCCATGAACCAGGAAGTCACAGTTTGATTCCCAGTCAGGGTGCACAATGCCCAGGTTTCAGGCTCAATACCCAGTAGGGGGCGTGCAGGAGCCAGCTGATCAATGATTCTCTATCATCATTGATGTTTCTATCTCTTCCCTCTCCCTTCCTCTCTCTGAAATTTAAAAAAGCAATTAACAGATTTGATGTAATAGTTATATATGAATACTGCTTCAAATAATTAAAAGCAGCTCTTTATAAAACATTTATAAAAATTGCTAAAAAATTTTTTTAAAAATTGCTAGGTACAATGTGAATTTTACTAAATTTAAAAGTATTCATTCATACATGTTCCCTCTTCACAAAGCAAGTTTAGAAATAAAAAGATAGCTACTAAAAACCTATAATTAGAAATTAAAAAACTTGTAAATAACCAGTTGACCCAAGAAAGAAATCATGGTAGAAATTAGTAAATGATTAGAACTGAATGGAATTGAAAAGACATACTCAAATATGTGAAATGAACCTAAAGTTATCACAGAGGGACTTCAGATCTTCAAAGCTTATTTACAAAAATTATCGGCTAAAACAAATGAGTAACAATGGAAAATGAACAACAGAATAAATCCTACTAAGAGAAAAGGCAGGAAGTAATAACAAAATTTTAAAAAAATCAACAAAGGGCCAAAATGCGAAAATTGGTAAATTTCTTGTGAGATTAAAAAATAAATAAGGGCGCCTCCTGCGGGATGTCCCTGCCTGCTCGCCGCCAGCGCTGGGGCCGGCTCCCGAGGCTTCTTCACGACCAGGTCCTGACCTTATTACCAGACGGCCCTTTCACAGAGGTCGGCACGTCGAACTGTAACTGTGGATGGTACCGACGCTGTTGGCCCGAGGGCCCAAAGGCTGGTGCTTGGGCATTTTAATCCTGATGAAGCGGCCTCCAGACGCGAGTCCTGCTCCTCGTTACCCAACAGCCCTTGAGCGGAGCCGGCGCGGGGTGCCGGCCCTGATGGCGCGCATGGCTGTCCAGCTTGGGGCCGCCGAACGAGCCAGAAGGAGGGCCAGACGGCTGCAAAGTCCTGCGTGGCCTGGGGCGCTCCGTTTAAGCCCGGCCTGCTTGTGGCTGACCTCGGGAGAGGCCGGCATGGCTTGTGGAAGGAATGCTGGCCTGGAGGTCAGGCGGCTAAGGGCTCCATCTAGTTTTGTTTGTGCCATGAAAATGGGGTGAGGAAGGGTGTGAGGCAATAGTTCTTAATTCTCTGCCGTTCACATTATTGCAAACTCGATCTTTTATGGGAAGTTTCAGTGGTTTTATAATAAACGATTTTTACCGGCAAAAAAATTTAAAAATAAATAAATAAATAAATAAATAAATAAATAAATAAGGTATACACACAAATGTTACTAGAAATTGCAGGTGTAACTACAAATGTAAGTTATACTAAAAATATAAGAATATTATGAACTTTTGCTAGTTACATTGAAAATTTTGGTAAAATAGGCAAAATACTAGATAGAAATATACCAAACTAAGCAAACTAAAGCAATCCTATAACCACTAAATTTAAGTAGTGTAAAATCGTCCCACACTTCATAAAAAATGAAACATATCCTGACCGGTGTGGCTCAGTGGATAGAGCGTCGGCCTGCGGACTGAAGGGTCCCAGGTTCGATTCCGGTCAAGGGCATGTACCTTGGTTGCAGGCACAGCCCCAGTGGGGGGTGTGCAGGAGGCAGCTGATCGATGTTTCTCTCTCATCGATGTTTCTAACTCCCTATCCCTCTCCCTTCCTCTCTGTGAAAAATCAATAAAATATAATTTTTAAAACAATGAAACATAAATGGCTAATATTCCACCACAGGGTAGTGAGACATGAATCCAGGAGAGAAAAATGCAGGCCAGCCATTCTCACTGCCTCATAGACAGCCCAGTGACAGACTTCCTAGGAACAACTGATGCTGGTTCCCAGGGACGAGAGCCTGCGGCAAACAGGACATTTACATCTTTCTAGGGAAATGGTGCCTGGATATCTGCTTGCAGTTTGGGGCTTTAATATTGCATCACCCTTCATCCCTTTCCCTGGTGTCGGTGCTTGGAGAGCTGGAGTTTGTGGTGTGGCTGTGATAAAAGAACCATAAACATCAACGTGGAAGGAGACAATGGTGGGGGTGGCAGTGTTTAAGAGGTTATGCGATGCTCAGGAGGACACACATCCCCTTAACAGTGATTGTATTAAAGAAGGGTCAAAGCTACAAACGCCCAGTTACAGGTTAGTCATGGGGATATAACATAGAGCATAGACCAGAGGTGGGCAACCTTTTTGACTCGAGGGCCACAATGGGTTCTTAAACTGGACCGGAGGGCCGGAACAAAAGCATGGATGGAGTGTTTGTGCGAACTAATATAAATTCAAAGTAAACATCATTACATAAAAGGGTACGGTCTTTTTTTTTTTTAGTTTTATTCATTTCAAACAGGCCGGATTCGGCCCGCGGGCCGTAGTTTGCCCACTGCTGGCATAGACTAGGTTAAGAATGATGTCTTGCATATTTGAAAGTTGCTAAGAGAGTAAATCTTAAAGGCTTTCCTCATAAAAAATTTTTGTAACTATGGTGACACATTGATTTACTGTGGTGATCATTCCACTATGTGTACAAATACCAATTGATGAATATTGTTTTTTCAAAGAGCTACCAAACTGTTAGGGCAAATACTGGAAGCTATTTGAAACTATTTCATGAACAGAACTTAGATATTTCTTAGGCCTCGGATCAATGTGAAGAAATTACCAAGAATCTAAGGGCACCTTGATCCAAGTCTGGGAACCTCTGGACCAATGCTGTCTGCTAGGCAGAGTCCTTATCCACAGAATGCTCTTGCAAGACGTTTCTGATTTCTGCATATAGCAACTAAACCTAGTCCATGGATATGAGGCACCGTTCCCTGAGAATGTCACATGCTATGTAACTAAGTATAACATGTAAATGTTTCACCACCTCAGTGCTCCCTGCTGTGTGCGGTGACTGCTCACTTCTGGTTCAGCTTGTTTTTAAAAAAATATATTTTTATTGATTTCAGAGAGGAAGGGAGAGAGAGAGAATCATCAATGAGGAGAGAGAATCATTGGTCGGCTGCCTCCTGCAGACCCCACACTGGGGATCGAGCCACAACCTGGGCATGTGCCTGACCGGGAATCGAACCATGACCTCCTGGTTCATAGGTCTATGCTCAACCACTGAGCCACACTGGCTGGGCTCTGCCTCAGCTTTTAACCTGAGTCAGAGAGCATCTGCAGGAAGAACCCAGGAGACCTGCCAGGTGTCCCCAGCCTCAGTCTGCTTCACCTGTGCCTCTGACTCCTTGTCTCTCAGTAAAGCTTGACACTGGGTAGGAATCTCAGATTCCTGAGTGTGGTTTGACAATGCCCTCCTCAAATTCACTAGTAACCAGGGAAATTCATATGAAGCTACAATATTTTACACCCACCAGATTAGCCAACCAAATGTTTTAAACCTAACAAAGTTTTGGTGAGAATATGGAGCAGTAGGAAATCTGAAAACACTGCTGGTGGGAGTATAATTAGCATGGCCAGTAGGGAAAATAATTGCCTAGTAAAATTAAGGACGTGCATTCTATGACAGCAGCTATTTTCAGATACATATTTTGAGAAACTCATGTGCATTAGGCAATATGCACAAGCACATGGGTAGCTTCATTATTCATCACAGAAAGCGACATGTCCATAGGGCAGGTAAGCTGGCGTGTTTATACAGTGACCTCACACAATCATGCGGAGTGCGTAACAGCTACATGCAGAATGGATGAACCTCCTAACGCAATGCTGACCAAAAAGTAAGTCAAAGCATGCAACTTACATAACGTTAAAAATAGTCTAAGATGAAATGATATACTGCTTGGGGATACAAACACATACAGAAAAAGTTCAGAAAGCGAGGGGAAAACTAAGACAAAACTCAGGATAATAGCTGTTGTCTCTGAGGTCCAGAGAGGAATAAATTGGGGTTGGGCCCACAAGCTGCTTCTGAGGTTTGACCAAGTTCTGCTCGTCCCGTGGGGGCAGCAGTGGCAAGTGTCAGTCTGTAGAATGCACAGGTCCGGCACACTTTTCTGTGTGTACTGCACAGTCAAGGAAAAGTAGCTTATGAACACATAATACTGGTAATTCTTCAGAAAGAAAGATATAGCAACCCAACAATTTCAGAAAGTTAAAAGATGGTCATATACTGTATATGGATGATAATTTTCTGGTAAACTTAAATGCATAGAAAAAGACTAGAAAGATACACCAAAACCATAACCATAGTCATCACTGGTTCAGGGACTAGGGGTGGTATCTTCCTTTGTGTTTTGCTATGTTACAGTGTTGTGTGTTGAGCATAGTTCTGAAATTGTTTAATGAATTAAGCTAGTGTGCAGTACAGCACAGAATCACGCTCCCAGCATGCTTCCTGGTTTTCCAGCAGCTGCTGTGTGACATGTTCTCACGTCTGGTACATGTGCTGTATGTGCTGGACATACAGATGTCTCAGCTCTGACGGTAAATAGATAAACAGCACAATTTCTAATATAACATAACTACTGGGTTTCTACTCTATCCCTATTCTAACCATATCCTTTTATTGTTTAAAATTCTGCTTCTGGTTTTACTTCATCCTTTACTTCCTCTCCTTTGCCAGGGGATTAAAAAGAAACTAAAACTAAAACAGGGCCTGGCATGGACAGCAAGCATTCAGTAAACAGCGGTTTCCTTCCGTGCCATTCTGTGTCTTGAACACATAAACATGACCTGCACTCCAACTCCTAACACTGAGAAGTTTCCTTCTTGTCCAAATTGTTCTATTGCACTTTAGCCTCCGCAAGGTGTCAGGGGCCACCGGCAATAGGAGAGAGACCTTCCACCATTGTTCATCATCTACTGTCTCGTTTCTTTTAGCCTCACTGCATCCTACCTTAGTCCTCTAAAGGTTATTCTATCTACGAGATTATTTTACCAAATAAAGTACAAATGAAGATGATAGGTGCTAGGTGGAAGGTTGTAATTAAAATATTCAAATTAAATGTTATAACACAAACTAAATATAAATTGAATTATAACTAAACTAGTGGCCTGGTGCACAAATTTGTGCACATTGAAAGGAAACTAATTAGAAGAAATATTTTAATATCGCTATTCTATTCACCCTTTCTCTATAATAGAAGTGTCAACCGAATTCACAATCGACAATGACAGATCGAAACACATGCGTGTGATTGGTGCCACGAAGAGCTTTATTGTATCGCGTATACGCAGATCAACTTAGCCTTTTATATATATAGATTATAAAAACAATTCTTAACTTTAAAAATTATAAATATTAAAAATATTGGTTAAAATGTAGAACTTATTAATAAACAATATTACTTACATGATATTATTACTCTTGTGGGCTCTTCCAATGTTTCCACACCAGCGATATTTACAAATGTCATAAACCAATAATTCTTCTGGAAAAAAGTAGTTCCAACGCCGAATCCCTAAAATGCAAATAATGTTTCTAAAGGCATTTTTACTCTATCATAAAACAGTTAATAAAAAATAAGATTGTCTTTACCTCCTTTAATGCCATTTTTATTCACCAAAGAAAGAACAAATTGATCAATTTCAGGGTAGGGCGAGGCCTGAAAACCTTCAATGTTTTCTACTGCAACAGAGAGAAAAATTAATTATAAATGATAATGGTTAAAGTTGAGAAGTTTTGATTAAGTTGTTTAGTATAATTTTGGGTTACCTCCTCCCCCTTGGTTCCCAAATCTCCCCTTTTTGCAATGTTCCTTTTAATCAGTCATGGATTTTTATTATCCTACAAGAAGGTAAAATTCAAACCTCTCAATTAAGCCAAATGTCAAGTAATTATTACCAAAAGCATGTATAATCATATAAATTGCTTTCTTCACTCTAATAAGGAAGCACAGTCCCTTTCACCCAGGAGTTGCCTGGTCCTATGAGGTGGGCTTGGGTGTGGCTACCAGGTGGCTGGGCACCACAGCTCAGCCCTCGTGTTCTATTCATCATAAACTAGTTCTATTTCACAGAACTTCAGCATCAGATGAGGTCATTCTGTGGCGATGATGATTCAAGACAAAAATGAACACGTCTGAACACAGACAAAACGAACGGACATTTTCCAAGCCAAAGAAATGATCAAATACACCCTTATCTTGTCTAACATAATTAACTGCTATTTCTTACCTGGATCCAGCTTTAGTCTCCCTGAAGTCTGCCTTCTTTCTAGGTAAGATTTCTCGATATTCATCATAGAACTTTCCCTGATGGGCCCTCCTCAAAAGCCCCTAACTCAAGCCCGAATCCTAACACCCTTTACTGAGAGGCCCCATGGCTCCCTATGGTGTGCACTCTCCATCGCTGTGACCAGTAATACACTTGGCTTGCTCAACACAGTGTGTTCTCTGGTGGTCTTTAGATGCAGGGCACTGACATTCAGCTACATTTTGTATCTAAGTGTCTACTGGAATAATTTAGAATAATATATTTACAATCTCATTCAACATTTAAAGATAGAATAATCTACTTTTCTAAAAATAAAGCCTGTATATTTCACTTACAAAAGTAATATACACGATTGGAGAAAATCTGGAAATATAGTAAAGCATAAATAAGAGAAACTCCAAAACAATGTCTCAAAATAACTGTTAGTCATATAATAGGTTATTCATATTTTTTAAAAAACTTGTGATCATACCTTAACATATAATTTGAGTCTACTTTTTCTCTTAACATCATAAGTGGATATTTTCCATATTATATTAGACTTTATAAATTTTAATTAAATGACTTCAGAGAATTTTATACTACAGAACCAATCCCATTTTGTTGTACACTTAGATTGTTTTCAGTTTTTCACTATTATAAATAATACTAGCCCAAAGTCTATACTAATAAAAGGGTAATATGCTAATTAGACCAGATAGATTAGTTGTCCTTCTGGAGAAAGCAATGGTGGCAGGGGTGGTTAGGGGCGATCAGGCAGGCAGGCAGGCAGGAAGGCAGAGGCGGTTAGGGGCGATCAGGCAGGCAGGGGAGCAGTTAGGGACAATTAGGCAGGCAGAGGTGGTTAAGGGCAATCAGGCAGGCAGGGGAGCAGTTAGGGGCATCAGGCAGACAGGGCAGAGTGGTTAGGGGCGATCAGGCAGGCAGGCAGGTGAGCGGTTAGGAGCCAGCGGTCCCAGATTGCGAGAAGGATGTCCGACTGCCATGGGATCGAGCATCGGGCCTAAACCGGCAGTCAGACATCCCCCAAAGGGTCCCAGATTGGAGAGGGTGCAGGCCGGGCTGATGGACATCCCCCCTTTCTGGCCCCCTCCCCCACATGAATTTCATGCACTGGGCCTCTAGTGTGTGTGTGTGTGTGTGTATATATATACACGCGCATATATATATATAAATGTTCACTGGAGAGTTTATGCAGGAAATCTTAGGAAAAAAACCCTGTATGTTCTTCAGTGTAGGAATGAAGAATATATACTTTTCATGAGAAACTGAAGCCATTAAAAGAATGAGATGCTCTCCAGTTACTGGAAATACAAGAAAAACCCTCCTGGTTAAATACGAAGCTACTGACAGTGGTCATCCCTTTGTGGACAGAGGATGAAGAGAACTCTTAGGTGTCTTATTTTAATATGTGTTCATTTTATCCAAACAATATATTACTTAGGTAGGGGTTTTTTTCAAAATGGTCTAAATGAAAATTAGTGAATAAGCTTTTTAAAATATCTCTTTAATTTTCATTTTGGATAGAAACTTAGTTATTTTAAAATATCAGTAGATATGAATCCATAAGATTTAAGATTTTAAAGGCAAAACAGATTTAACATCCTTAAATTTTCATAGAAAATTATTTTTGTATAATTACCTGAAGTGCTGGTACTATTAAAATGCCCAGCCTGTTTTTGTTTATCCTCGGATGCGTCACATCTAAGTACTCGTAAAGTATCTGAGAATCTGAAGAAAATATGTTCAAGAAACAAAATAATATTATATTAGAATTAAAGAGATATAGCTACAGAAAAGAAACAACCTCAAAGAATTCCATATTAAAATCCTCTGTTCAACAGCTATTATTCCAGGACATTTATGCCACAGTTGCCTATAAAAGCACCAATCCTACCCACATAAAAAGGAGTCTGGTGATCGCTTAAAACACGGTCCTGCAGAGTGAGCCGAGGACCAAAGCTGAGGAAGGGACGGAAGGAAGTGTAATCCCACTCCCCAAACAGAGCCTCTGAAATGTTACAATGATTTAAAAGTGTGAATAATGGCAAGAAAAGAGAAGGAAAAGACTGGTGAGAGCAAAGGGAAAAATGGATTGAAATTAATGGAAATAAAAGAGGCATTCATAACCGTAAAGAATTTTGCCTTTAATTTCAAAAAGAAATCCTCTACTTGGATACACAAAAGACAACAAAGGAGGCCCTAATTCAGTAGAACTCTGCATTTCTGTGAAATTAATACTGAAGCTACAAAAGAAATGGGGGACTTCAGGCTGTATCTATCATAGGCCCCCTATGTTGCTTTTCCATACATGATAGGATGTGATCTTATTCTGGGGCCAACAACTGGGGGCAGCCATTGTCATACCATTTGTCACTGCTCCCATACTACTTCTAGATCTCAGAAACTGCTACCACTACTACAGCACTTACTGAGCAGGTACTATGTGCCAGGCACTGCATATATGTTTTTTTAAAAAAATATGTGTTATTATACCACTTTTATTTATTTTTAAAAAATATATTTTATTGATTTTTTACAGAGAGGAAGGGAGAGGGATAGAGAGTTAGAAACATCGATGGAAGAGAAACATCAATCAGCTGCCTCCTGCACGCTCCCTACTGGGGATGTGCCCGCAACCAAGGTACATGCCCTTGACTGGAATCGAACCCGGGACCCTTCAGTCCGCAGGCCGACACTCTATCCACTGAGCCAAACCAGTTAGGGCTGCATATATGTTTTATATATAGTTTTAACTTATTTAATCCTAACAACTCCCTAAGACAGATGCATTATTTCCATTTTAAAGGTAAGGGAACTCATACTTTGACATTACTTCTGAGATACGTTATGGAAGAACTCAAACAGTCCAGAAACATCTGAAGAAAATTTCCCCACAGCAAATATTTTATTTTATCCCTACTGGGGATATTTTATCCCTACTGGGGATGTGCCCGAAACCCAGGTACATGCCCTTGACCGGAATCGAACCTGGGACCTTTCAGTCCGCAGGCCGACGCTCTATCCACTGAGCCAAACCGGTTTCGGCGGCACAGCAAATATTTTAAACAGTTTTATTAGAATTCATTTCTGTGGAGTTTCTCTTTAAGATTATCTCTGGGGAAAGCAAAAGAAGAGCAAGTTAACAAGGTAATTTAGTGCTTTGGACTAACAAAAATTGCAAGCCTAGAATCAAGGGGATTAAAGGCAAAAATATATTTATGTATATATTTTTTCATTTATTTCAGAAAGAGGAAGGGACGGGGGAGAGAGATAGAAACATCAATAATGAGAGAGAATCATTGATTGGCTGCCTCCTGCACACCCGCTACTGGGGACTGAGCTTGCAACCCAGACACGAGCCCTGACCAGGAATCAAGCCGTGATCTCCTGGTTTATGGGTTGACGCTCAACCACTGAGCCACACCGACTGGGCCAAAGGCAAGAATTTCTGTTGAAAGAAGTCTTTCACACTTTTTTAAATGACCAAAATATGTAAAATCAAATGTTCAACAATAGAACAACTAATCAGAGTATATAAATACAATGGAAAATTATATAGGTATTAAAAGTTTTACTTATAATTAACTGCTGGCAAATTATTAACTTGGCAAATATTCAGAATATGTTGAGTGGATAAAACAGGTGACAGACCATATACCAGGGGTCCGCAAACTACGGCCCGCGGGCCACATGCAAATACAAATACTGTATTTGTTCTCGTTTTGTTTTTTTACTTCAAAATAAGATATGTGCAGCGTGCATAGGAATTTGTTCATCGTTTTTTTTTAAACTATAGTCCGGCCCTCCAACGGTCTGAGGGACAGTGCACTGGCCCCCTGTTTAAAAAGTTTGAGAACCCCTGCCATATATTCTCAACAAATATTTTTTTAAATGATGGAGTTACATAAATTATATATGTATGTGCATATATGAAAAAATGAAATGTTAATAGTAATTATATTTCTAAATGCAATAAAACTTTTTATTTTCTTTATAGAAATGTTAATCATTTTAGAAAAACTGGAAAAATATGTAATATATAATTATAAAAAGACATAAAGAGAATACTATGTGGTTAGAAAATAAATTTTACTATTATATTTCACTTAATAGACAAAAGAAAACAGTAATCTAGAATTTTAAGAACTGACTTTCTTGTTTAAGGTAGAATGAATTTACACAATTTACATTTGTGCAATGCCATTCACTGTGCAATATTCATGAACACACAATGGTTTACTTCTGATCCTACATACCTGACATTGCTGACCAAAGAAGAGAGGAAACACTGCTCCTCTTCAGAAGTACTCTCTGACCGTGTAAGAGAGAATCTGTTATCTTCAGCGACCTCCAACACCACAGGCTTCCCCTTCTTTGATGACTTATACAGCCGAAAGTTCCTATTTCTTGTATAAACTCCTATATGAAAAATTAACAAAACAGTATGAACGCACGTTTTCAGTTACTTGTTTTTATAGTCAGCAAGTGTGAAATTAATTTGTGTAGCATTTTTAGAAGAAACAACAGTTCTGATTCACCTTAGCAACCTAAAAAGATCCTGAGCCCCCCTCTTCCTGCGGTCACAATGAACCTAGGCTATAGATAGAAAAACGTCCTCTGGAAAAAACCTAGAATCTGGTGGAAGTCCCCCTTCACAGAGAGAAAATGAAAGGAAGCCACATCAAAACAGAGAGGAAAGGCTGAGACACATTCACGTTAAACCCCACCCCTGGCAGGGCAACCCATCACATGGGGGGAGGGAATGGAACCCTGAAATTCTCCTGGGGAACCCCAACTTTTAAGACCAGCAATTGAGAAACAGAACCTCCCAGACACCTGGCTCTGAAGATCACCTGCGTGGCTGTGGCGAGCAGGCACGCCTCTTAAAGGGCTCACATGCAGATGCACCCACCTGGGCCCAGAAGCAGCCCTTTGAAAAGCGCCAGACTTTATGTGCAAGAAACCCATTTGTGGATTTTAAAGTGTTGGTTTGCATGGCTGCCCTGGCCTGTTTGGCTCAGTGGATAGAGCCTGTAGGAATGCAAGTGTTTCAGGCAGAGAACAAGTGCTCACACACCCTTTGGGGATGCAGGCTGGTGGGTACCATCTTCCCGCTATCCCTCTGCCTTGTTAACGCCACTGGCACCATCTTTTCTTCTTTCTTCAGCAGGCGCCAGCTGGGCACGCCCTCTGTCTCACTCCTCTGTGCTCTCAGGCTGTGTCCAGAGCACCACTATCTCCCAGAGGGGCGCTTCTACACTCTGGTGCCCCACTTGTCACTCAGGGGGCACCCCATGATTGCTTTGCATTCGTGGGTCCCATAGGACTGTAACAATTGGAGAGGCAGTTCTTGGCAGGCTACCACCCCCAGGGCACTGCACAGACAACAGACTGAACACAGCTTTTCTGTGAAAGAGTCTTAATTGCTTGTCTTAGTTGCAGGTTTCAGGTTGGGCACACAATTTTGAGGCTACAGAGCTACTCTCAGAGAATGTAAGCCAGGGGACCCTATCTCTGCCCTCTTCCTCTGCCTCGCAACAGCTCGCTGGCATGCCCCCCGATAAAGGAGCGTATACACTCGTCTGGCACCTGGTCTTTGTGACTCCTGCTCAGGAAACACCTCCAGATGGCCTGGCTCTGGTGGCCTTGGGGCTTACCCTTCCGGTCCCCAGGACAGGACTGTGTATATTTGCATTCTTTAAAAGCTGCAGCCTGAGGGTCTGGCTTCTAATCAGAATAATCGGGGTGCTGAGATGCTCCCTTTTGAGACACAGACTGTTTCTGGCACAGCCTCAACTACTGGGAGTTAATAGGGATTTTTTAAGAAGCCTGCTTGGACAATCACAAAGGCTTGATAGACGAGAGCCAGGGCAGAGCAGGATTAACCAGACGTTCATCTCCTACACAAAGCCAACCCTTCAAGCCTGGGAGAAGTGGCTGTTTCATCTAATGCATAGAAACCAACAGAGAATTAAGAAAAACGAGGAGACAAAGGAATATGTTCCAAATGAAAGAACCAGATAAAACTGAAGAAAGAAAAAAAAACCTTAATGAAATTAACTAATTTACCCAATATAGAGTTCAAAGTAATGATCATGAAGATGCTCAACAAACTCAGAGAATGGATAAACAGCGAGAACTTTAACAAAGAGATAGAAAATATAAGAAAGTATCAGACATAATCACAGGGCAGAGGAACACAATAAATAAACTGAAAAAGACAGTAGAAGGGTTCAATAGTAGAGTAGATGAAGCAGAAGAGAGAATCAGTGAATGAGAGACAGGGCAGAGAATCAAATCACTCAGAGAATAAAAAAGAGGAAAGAATGTAAAAGGTGAAGACAGTTTAAGGGACTATGGAACCACATCAAGCAGACTACATTTTCATTACAGGAGTCCCAGAAGGGGAAAGGGATAGAGAGAGGAAGAGGGAGGAAAAGAGAGGAGGAGGAGGAGAGGAGGGAGTGATACATTGTTCTCTTGGGAGGTTTATACAACTACCCATCATCTGGTTTTGCATTAACTCCTTTAAAAAATGAACTCTGGCCCTGACCGGTTTGGCTCAGTGGATAGAGCGTTGGCCTGCGGACTGAAGGGTCCCAGGTTCGATTCCAGCCAAGGGCATATACCTCAGTTGTGGGCACATCCCCAATAGGGGCTGTGCAGGAGGCAGCTGATTGATGTTTCTCTCTTATCAATGTTTCTAACTCTCTATTCCTCTCCCTTCCTCTCTGTAAAATAAATCAATAAAATATATTTAAAAAAAAAAAATGAACTCTGGCCTGGCCGGTGTGGATCAGTGGTTGAGTGTCAACCTATGAACCAGGAGGTCACAGTTCCATTCCCTGTCAGGGCTCATGCCAGGGTTGTGGGCTCGATCCCCAGTAGGGGTCGTGCAGGAGGCAGCCGATCAAGATCAATGATTCTCTCTCATCATTGATGTTTGTCTCTCTCTCCCTCTCCCTTCCTCCCTAAAATCAATAAAAGCCCGGCTGGCGTGGCTCAGTGGTTGAGTGTCAACCTATGAATCAGAGTTCAATTCCCAGTCAGGACACTAAATACCTCGAGACAAAAGAAAATGGAAATGCAAAAATATAAATAATATATTTTTTTAAAAAGGAACTCTGTCTTGGGAGGGGTGTGGATTTCTCCCAGCCCGCCACCACTGGGAGCTGCTGCTTTGCCCCTGTATATGTTTCTCCTATTAAAGCTTTTATGAATTTGAATAAGGCCACATGTCAGTTCTTCAGAATCCATCCTGAATCTAGACTTTTGGGGCTTTCCCCAACACTGGCGAAGTCATTCATATTAAAGGATAGTTTTCCAGACAAGCAAAAGTTAAGGAGTTCATCACCACTAAGCCACCCTTCCAAGAAATTTTCAAGGGACTCTCCGAGCTGACCAAAGAGCACTCACTCATAATAGGAAAACATATGAAAGTATGAATTACACTTGCAAAGGTATATGTGTAGTGAAAGTAGTGGATTAGTCACTTATAAAGCAAGTATGAAAAACAGCTAACTCTAATAATTAGTTAAGGGATCCAAAAATAAAAAATGTAAATTATGATATCAAAAACATAGATAGTAAAAACATAGAACTTTAGAATGCATTCATAGCTAAGTTACCAATTTGCTATATATTGTTATAAGTTGTTATATGTAAGCCTCATAGTAATCACAATGCACAAATCTAGAGTAGATACACAGAAGATAATGAGAAAGAAATCTAAACATACCATTAAAGAAAATCATCAAGCCACAAAGAAAAAGAGTGAGAGTAGAAAGGAACAGAGGAACAGCCAGGAAACAACATGGCAATATGTATATATTCATCAATAATACTTTAAAAGTGAGTGGACTAAAAACTCCAATCAAAAGAGAGAGAGCACAAAATGGATTCAAAAACAAAATCCTTCAAAGATTATGGTGAAACAAAGCAAGGCATTACATAATAGTTAAGGGGTCAATCCAAAAAGAAGTTAAACATTTGTAAATATTTATGCAACCAACAAAGGAGCACATAAGTATATAATGGAAATATTAATAAACCTAAAAGAAGAAATATACAGCACAACAATAGTATGGAACATTGATACCCTCTTACATAAAGGGATAGACCATCCCGAAGATGATCAATAGGAAAGCATCGGCCTGGAATGACATGTTAGATCAGATCAACATAACAGACATACACAAAACATTGCATCCTAAAGCAACCTAATACACATTTCTTCTCAAGTTGCACATGGAACATTCTCCAGGACAGATCATGCATTAAAAACAAGTCTTAACAAATTTAAGAAGACTGAACTCATATCAAGCATCTTTTTCAACCACAATGATATGAAATAGAAATCAATTACAAAAAGAAAACTAGACAACTCACAAATATGTAGAGATTAAACAACATGCTATTTGAACAACCAAAGGGTCAACAAAGAACTCAAAAGAGAGATCAAAAAATACCTCGAGACAAAAGAAAATGGAAATGCAACACACCAAAACTTACTAGTATGAGATGCAGCAAATGCAGTGCAAGAAGTGTAGCATAAATGCCTACACCTCAAGAAACAAAAATCTCACCCAGCCAATGTGGCTCAGTAGTTGAGTGTCGACCTGTGAACCTGGAAGTCATGGTTCAATTCCCGGTTAGGGCATGTGCCCGGGTTGTGGCCTGGGATCCCCAGTTCAGGGGGACATGTAGGAGGCAGCCAATTGATGATTCTCTCTCATAATTTATGTTTATCAATCCCTCTCCCTCTCTGAAATCAATAAAAATATAAAATAAAACAGCATCAGAAATCTCAAACAACCTAACTTTACACCTCAAAGAACTAAAAAAGGAAGAAAAAGCAAAGCCCAAAGTTAGTAGAAGGAAACACCAAAGATCAGAGCAGATATAAATGAAATAGAGACTTAAAAAGATAATAGACAAGATCAATGAAACCAAGAACCAGTTCTTTGAATAAAGACGACCTTTAGCTAGACTCATGGGTTGGCTGGGGGGGGGAGACTTAAATAAAGTCAGAAACAAAAGAGATATTATAACTGATACTACAGAAATATAAAGGATCATAAGAAACTACAACAATCACATGCCAACAAATTGTACAACCTAGAATCTTACCTAATAATAGACAAACATGTAAATTGACCATCCCTCCACTACACTCACCAGGCAATCAGGAGAGCATGCAAATTAACCCAACAAAGATGGCAGTTAATTTGCATATGTAGGCGTGAAGTGGCAGAGCCAAGACTGAAGGCTCTGTCTGGAGCAGCAAAGACTGAAGGCTCCAGCCGGAGCGAAGGCTTGGGTCCCAGGTGCCGGAGGAAAACTGGTGCCAGCAGCCAGGGAAAGGGAAGGCCTATTGCACGAATCTCTTTGTGCCACGGGCCTCTAGTAAATAGATAAATTCCTAGGAACACTCTTCTAATACTGAATCACGAAGAAACAGAAAATGTGAATGGTCAATTACTAGTAAAGAGATTGAATCAATAATCCAAAACCTCCCCACAAAGTCCAGGATCAAATGACTTTAAATGTGAATTCTACCAAATATTCAAAGAAAAATCAGTATCAATAGTTCTCAAAATCTCCCCCAAAAATAAAAGAGAACACTTACAAATTCATTTTACAAGGCTAGCATCATCCTGATAGCAAAACCAGACAAGGACTCCACAAGAAAACAAAATTACAGGCTAATATATCTGATAACATAGATATAAAAATCTTCAAAATAATATTAGCAAACCAAATTCAACAATGCATTATAAGAATCATACCCCATGATCAAATTAGATTTATTCCAGGGATGCAAGGATGCGTCAGTATCCAAAAAACAAGCCATATGATTTACCACATTACCAATATGAAAGATAAAAACCGTATGACTATCTCAATAAATGCAAAACCACAACTGACAATATTCGACATCTGCTTATGGTTAAAACTCTCAACAAGGTGAATATAGAGGGAATGTACTTCAACATAATAAAGGCCACATACGACAAGGCCACAGCATACATCATACACAGGAAGTGCTAAAAATTTTTCCTCTGAGATCAGAAATTAGACAAGGATGCCCACTCTCACCACCCATTCAACAAAGTATTGAAAGTCCTACCCAGAGTAATTAGTCAAGAAAAAGAAAAAAAGGAATATAAATTCGAAAGAAAGAAGAACTCTATTTGCAGATGATGTGATACTATATTATGTGTAAAAAGCTTTAAAGACTCGAACAAACTACATATATATACTAACTACCCCTCATCTGAGGTTTTGCTTTCTGCAGTTTCAGTTACCTGTGGTCAACCATGTTCTGAGAATATTAAATGGAAAATTCCTGAAATAAACAATTCATAAATTTTAAATTGTGTCCCATTCTGAGTTTATGATGCAATCCCACGCCATCCTGCTTCAGCCTGCAAGGGGCATGAGTCATCCCTTTCACTTCTCACCCATTAGTCATTTATAACCATCTTTCAGATCATCTTTCAGAGTTGCAGTGCTTGTGTTCAACTGACCCTTATTTTATACTAGAGGCCCGGTGAACGAAAATTCATGCACTCGGGGGCAGGGGAGGGGGTCCCTCAGCCCAGCCTGCACCCTCTCACAGTCTGGGACCCCTTGGGGGATGTCCGCCTGCTGGCTTAGGCCCTCTTCCTGTGGGAAGTGGGCCTAAGCCGGCAGTCAGACATCTGTCTTGCAGTCAGGGAGCCCTCACTCCTTACCACGTCTGCTCGCTGCTCCTTAGCGCTGCCTCGGAGGCAGGAGAGGCTCCTCCACTGCTGCTGTGCTCACCCGGCTTCTGACTGAGTGGTGCTCCCCGAATGGGAGCACACTGACCACCATGGGGCAGCTCCTGCATTGAGCATCTGACCCCTGGTGGTCAATGCGCGTCATAGCAGCCGGTCGTTCCCCAGGTCAGTCGATTTGCATATTAGCCTTTTATTATATAGGACAGTGATGGCGAACCTGTGACACGCGAACTCATTTTTTTGGTTGATTTTTCTTTGTTAAATGGCATTTAAATACATAAAATAAATATCAAAAATATAAATCTTTGTTTTACTATGGTTGCAAATATCAAAAAATTTCTATATGTGACACGGCACCAGAGTTAAGTTAGGGTTTTTCAAAATGCTGACACGCCGAGCTCAAAAGGTTCGCATCACTGATATAGGAGGATGATAATGACCCCGAGAACAAGAGCAGTGATGCTGGCAAAGAAAAGCCAGACAGCGCTTCATTTAAGTGGAAAGGTCAGTACAGTAAAATATTTTGAGAGAAAGACTACATTCACATAACTTTAGTATATTGTTATAATTGTCCTATTTTGTTAATTATTGTTGCTAATCTTTTACTGTGCCTAATTTATGAATTAAACTTGATCATAGGTATGTATGCATAGGAAAAAAACATAATATATATAGGGTCCAGTATTATCTACAGTTTCAGGCATCTACTGCGGTCTTAGAACATATCCCCATCGGATAAGGAGGGACTATTGTACAATGGAATTTTATTCAGCTAAAATAAACAAAGAAATACTATCATTTGTGACAATAGATATGGACTTCAGGGCATTATGCTAAATAAAATAAGTCAGACAAAAACAAATACCAAATGATCTTATTTATATTGTGGAATCTAAAAAAAGCCCAAACCAAAACCAAGCTCACAGAGAACTGCCACCACTGGTGGTTGCCTTGGTTGGGAAGAGGGCCAAGTGGGTAAAAGGAAGTCAAAAGATAAACACTTCCGGCTCTAAAATAAATAAGTCCTGGGGATTCAAGTACCGCATGGCAACTATAGTTAATAATACTGTATCGTGCCCTCACTGGTTTGGGTCAGTAATTAGAGCGTCAGCCTGCGGACTGAAGGGTCCCGGGTTCAGTTCCGGTCAGGGGCAAAGCCCAGGTTGCAGGCTCAATCCCTAGTAGGGGGCGTGCAGGAGGCCGATTGATGATTCTCTCTCCCTCTCCCTTCCTCTCTGAATCAATAAAAATATATTTTTTTTAAAATGCTGTATCGCATATTTGAAAGCTGCTAAGAGAGTAGATCTTAAAAGTTCTCATCACACGAAAGAAAAATTTCTGTAACTATGTCCAGAAACGGATGTCAACTAGACTCACTGTGGTGATTATTTTGCAATATGTACAAATCAAATCATTATGCTATATACTTCAAATTAATGTTGTATACTTCAAACTAATGTTGTATGTCAATTATACCTTAATTCAAATAAATAATAAAATGAAGGTGAATAAAATCACCTTCAGGGACAAAAATACATACAAAAATATACTTTTTAAAAATACATTTTACATTTTACCAGATGTAAGCAAAAGCAACACATAAATTAAAATAAATTGGAGATGGCAAGAAAGAATGTCACATCCAGAAATAGCAAACTAGAGTATTTTGGAGGCAATCCTCCTCAATAAATAAGTAGAAAAGCTGGATAAATGTGTTAGGGGAAAACGTCTGAGGCTATGAGAGAGCTTTCAAGACGGTGATGATCTGTCACACCAAATCTCAGAAAAGAGGGAGGCATCAAAACATCCAGCATAGCCCTGACCGGTTTGGCTCAGTGGATAGAGCGTTGGCCTGTGGACTCAAGGGTCTCAGGTTCAATTCCAGTCAAGGGCATGTACCTTGGTTGCTGGCACATCCCCAGTGGGGAGTGTGCAGGAGGCAGCTGATCGATGTTTCTCTCTCATTGATGTTTCTAACTCTCTATCCCTCTCCCTTCCTCTCTGTAAAAAAAATCAATATATTTTTAAAAAAATAAAAATCATCATTCTCCCCTTTAAAAAACAACAACAAACATCCAGCATATCTCTCTCTCTCTCTCTCTCTGGTATTAAAGGGTAGATTAGAGATTACCTCTGCAGAGGAGGGGGTAATGCCTGGAAGGGGAAGGAGGTGCTGGGGTCCTGGCCACCTTCTATTTCTTGTCTTGGGTGGTGTGGTGACAGGATGTGTTCATTTTGTGGTAGCTCACTGACCTGTACACTCACAAACCATGCATGTTTCTGTCTGAATGTTATACTTCAATAGAAATGTTTTCTAAAAAAAATTTTGCCCTGTACTATTAAGCCTGGCGCTTCTGTCCTACAGGGACCTCTCTGAGATCTCTGAACAGCAACCCGAGCTCCTGACTACATTCTGCTGGTGACCCCACGGTCCCTGTGGTGGCAGTAGGCACGGACAGAAGTGCACAAGGACAGTCCCACAGAGCTGCTGATGTGACTCACCTAGATCTACAAAAAGACGCTTTTTCCCTGCAGGATCCTTCACAACTAAGAAGGAAAGGTCAGGGCCGCTCCGCTCGGCGGACCCCAGCCGCTCCCGGGCCTTGGAAGTCAACGTCCAGCTCTCTCCTATCTCCTCATCTGTGGACATTTCACGGAAGGAAATTCCTCGTTTAATTGGTGGTTCAGAAAAATGGGAAAATGCTTGGCTGGTTGTCCCTGGAATCCCACCATCATCTTCATCATCTTCATCATCTCCACTGGCAATCAAATGAAAAGCAGGCTGCAAAATCTTTCTCACAAAATTACCTAAAGAAAAAAAATTATGATTAATCTAATTCTTCCTTTTCACAAACTGTAACTTAAGATCTAGGCCCAAATCTACGCACTTTGACACTGCCAGGCTCCTTTTTACTTTTGGTTTTAGCACTGAGTTGTTACTACAAACCGGAACATGCCTCTCCTGTTACTTTCTTCCGCTTGTGTAATCTTGAGCTTTTCTTCTTCTTCTTTTTTTTTTTTTTTTAAATCTTGAACTTTTTCAGTCCACGTTGACCCGGCACCTGGTGTCACTTGTAAAAACCATCTTACAGGAGAAGGTTAATGTGAGATGTGTCAATGTTGCCAATACAGGACTGAGCCTATATTCACCAAAACACTCAACTTTTATTAATACAAATTGAGTGAAATGTATCTTCACAATCAATGATTAAATAATGGAAGTTTTTATTTTTATTTTCAAAAAGAATGAAATCTTATCCCCCAAAAAGAATGAAGAGTTTCTATGAGTAAGTGGTGCCACCAAGGTCATGCACAGAAACACCGGAGGACTGCCATCCTCTCCCGGGCCAGGCATCGGCCCGGTTCCCTGCACGGCAGGCCCGAGGACGCCGGCACGCACTCAGCAGCCCACTGATGCTCTCCCGCCTCTCCCTGTACCTGGCCATTGATGATCGTGGCCTCAGAACCAAGGTCCAGAACTAAAACACTTAAATACATTCAGTATACTTCCACGTTTAGTCTAAGGGCTCTAAATATCAGCGGTACTATCTGTACCAAGAATAGACAGTATGACAAGCTGGAACTTTTTTTAAAAATTTATCTTTATTGTTGAACATATTACAGATGTCCCCCCCTTTTTTCCCCATTGACCCCATCAACCCTGCTCCCCCGCTCAAGCCTTCACTATTGTCTGTGTCCATGGGCTATATACATGTATATAAATTCCCTAGTTAATCTCCCCCTCTACCCCCCTGCCCCTCTGAGATTCGTCCATCTGAAGCTGGAACTTCTTTAAACTGTCATTTATTATTTATTATACCATAAAATCAAGTAATTGGTAAAGCTGCTTCATGTAAATTAGATTAGAGAATACAATGCTGTAAACATTTTTTAATTTTAATCTTTAAAACTGGTATAGTCTGAGTTTGTCACTTTAGTTACCAGATAGCGTGAACCTTAAGTTATATAAGATATACATGCTTTAAATTAAAAAATCTTTCTCCAAATTAGACTTAATTACCTCCCTACTCAAAGAAACAAATCCACTGTCTTATAAACACTAAACATCAAAAATGAAAGCAAAAGCATTTGATCCTTGCAATCATAAATAGACATGGTTATTTCTGGATTAGGGGAGATTAGGTAAACACTGAGTGAGGAGAAAGCATGATATGCCAAAGTTCAACAGAGCAATCTATCCTATCTAATAAGGAGGGAATATGCTAATTGACTGCCACGCCCTCAAAGATGACAGCGCCCACAGCCACAAGATGGCGGGGCCCAGTCACCTCAGCCCCACTGGGGCGGCAGGCGCGTGGTGGGCCCAGCCACTCTGCGCGCCTGCCTCCAGAGTCCCCCAGTCCCCTCAACCCCCCAACCCCCCAGGGCCAGCCCGAGGTGCAGGCAAGCCTCAGATGGCGGCTGCCTAGCCGCCCAGGGCCGTCTGAGGCTCAGGTAACCAGGGCCGGCCGAGGCTTGTGCTGCCGGCAGTGGCAGCAGCAGAGGTGTGATGGGGGCGTCGCCTTCCCCTGATTGCCAGGTTGCTTCCCACCCCTGAGGGCTCCCAGACTGTGAGAGGGGGCAGGCTGGACTGAGAGATCCCTCCCTCAAGTGCATGAATTTTCATGCACCGGGCCTCTAGTCTATATATATAAAAAGCCAGCGACTGGAACGCTGTAACGACTGGAACGACCGATCCAGTCGACTATGACGCCCATTGCGGCCAGCGAACAAGCCCGATTGGGGGGTGGAGCAGGCCAGCCAACACCCCTACGGCCCCTCCCCCCAGCCGGCACCGCCCCTGATCGGCCTCTCCCACCCTGTTCGAGGGTAGGGCAGCTGGCCAACCCTCCCACAGGCCCCTCCCCATAGCTGGCCCTGCCTCCAATCGGTCCTCCACCCCAATCGGGAGCGGGGCCTGCCAGCCAATCGCCCACGGCCCCTCCTCGAGCCAGCCCGGGCCTGATCTGCCCCGATCAGGGCGGGCCAGCTGGCCAACCTCCCGCCTTTTCCTCCTCCCAACAGGCCTGGCCCTGATCCACTGATTGAGGCCGGGCCAGCCGGACCCCACCCATGCACGAATTTGTGCACTGGGCCTCTAGTGCAAATATAAAAGGAAAGAGTTAATTTTTCTGGAAATGCAGAATGACATCCCCCTGATAGTGAGCAGCACTAAGAGCAGTGGAGCCATGGCTAAGAACCTGGTGCAAGGGCAGCGCTCAGGAGGCCCTGCAGACCTTTGACCTTTGGCAGGGAGCTAACAGGGTCAGGAAGTGACAGTGTAACTGATATAAATACTAACATGGGATCTCAGGAAACTACTCTGCTTTAGACTTCCCTTCCCCAATAGTATCACCTCATCTCATCATTCATACAGGAACAATTTTATGGCTGGAAATAACTCAAAAGAACGTATCAATCACAGAAATTTCAAGGTCCTATGCCATGCAGGCAAGAGATCCAATGTATACATGTTGTGAGCATTTTGTGATCTCTTACATTACCCTAATTCCCCTTTCTGAAAAGCTAACAACAGGAACTAGAAATGTCACCAAGAGATACACTGGAGGAGGGAACTGAAGGGGAGATGTGGACTAATCCACAATCCCTGCATCCCTGGTGCTGGCGGTCCGTCGCTTCACAGGAGAGAACCCTGTGGTCTGACTAGGCCTCTCCAGCCACACTAGACTCCCGGTGCTCCCCACACCAGGCACAGACGCCCATCTCTACCCCTCTGTTTATGCTGTCTGACAGCAAAGCCCTTCTTCCCTTCGTCCACAGGCTGACATTTTTAAGCCCAGCTTGAATGCACCTGCTTTCAGAAGAGACATGCAGTAGAGACTGCTAATCATGTCACACTTCTGTTCTCCCTTCCTCCCTCGCAACACCTCTCAATTTAGCCTGTGGCAGAGTCAGAGCCGGCTATGAGGAGCAAACAGGCATCAAGGAAATATCTTCTTAGGACTCTCTCCATGCCTGACAGCAGAGCCCACTTAATATTGTCATCCATTCAACAAGTTTATTAAATGCCTGCTAGTACTTATTATTGTTGCTTCTGCTACTATCCCATTATTGTTATTGATAAAGACATTATTATGTAATAAGCTCTAAAAATCCAATAGTGAACAGTATCCCTGCCCTCAAGTAGCATTAGGTGGAATAGACAAAAACAAAACCACCAGGAAACTGCCTCAGGAAGTGGTGACTGCTCTGACGCAACAAGCGCTGGGCAGTCCTGCGACCCAGAGGAACACGAGCCTGTCTTAAGGCTCCACAGAAATGGCTTCTCAGGTGAGGATTTCTACGCTGTCTTGACACACCAGGCTGGAGGCAGGCCCACGCAGACAGCAGCATCAGAGACCGCAGAGGCCCCGGGACCGGAGAAGACATGGCCCAGCAAGAGCCCAGGAGAGCGAGGTATCAGGGAGGAGGCTAAAGCTCAGGGGTCTCACTGTGCAAACTAAGACGGGGGCTTTTTCCGGAGGCAGCGTATTATGCTTCAAGGGCCTGAGGCACTCCAGTGGCATAAACAGGTCACTGTAGCTAGCTGACTGAACAGGACTGAACAGGGTGCTAGCTGGAACGCATCTAGAGGTCAAAGATGACACCACTGCTACTTGGGTAAGTGGATGGATGGTGACACCACTCGCCAATATACATACCACAGGAGAAACAGCAAGTTTTAGGGGAAAGGTGAGGTGTTCGGTCATGGGGAGTTTGAAGCTGACCGTAGGGGTCTGGTGTCAAGAACAATAATCTTGACTGAAGAAAAAGTTTTGAGTCATCAGCACAGAGATGGTAACTGGAGACATGACAGTAAATGACCATCAAGGTTAACAGGAGACAAGGATGGATTCTACAGTTACTACCACCAGAGGAATGAGAGAGCAGAGAATCACTGTACAACTAAGCTAACAACACAGGAGAATAATAAGGAGCCCTGGGCACACAGTACACTAGGTCCCGACTTACATTCCAGTGCTTATGTGATTATGTTCATGTCTTTTACCCTGGAAATTGTCAGGCACCTGTCCATCTGAAATGGGTTACCAGTTCCTTGAACTTCAGTGAAAGGTCTGCTGTTTGAACTCAGGAACACCTGCCTGCTCTGCCCTGTCCGATAAACACTCAGGACTGTGACTTCTATTTAGACCTTGGTTTTCTGTGTCCCCATTCTGCCCACTTATTCCCCTTTGGACTGACTTCATTTTATACCTGGAACTCTATTTCTAGGTTTACAATCCTGAAACAAGTACACTGGTTACATTTTCAGGTTTATACATCTAGATTCCTCATGAACCCTAAGGTGTGGTCTGGAAAATAAACCAGACTTCGAGATGTAACCTGGAAACCAAGCCCCAGTTCTCAGGCACTAAAAGCTAAGGCGGAAGCGAAGATCAGAAATCCAGATCTGAGGCCTCGTGGGTCAGACCTGAATTAGGACTCTCATGTATCAACCAGAAAACTGCATGACTCCTGTTGCAGCAGAAACCAGTACCAGGGCATGAATGGCCATCCCAGTATCTACACCCAAAGACACCAATACCAAGAATATCCTGGGAAGGCTAATGTGTCCAAAATGTGTCAAGAAAAGGAAAACAGGTCTAGAATTAAAGGCAAAGCCTAAAAACGTGAAAAATCATGTTTCATTTTTTTAGGATAGGTTAACACCCATAAAAACTGATACTTACATAACTTAAGAAAAAAAGGGAAATATGAACTTTTACTATTGCTCCATGACTTAAAAAAATAGTATACTTGACTGGCTGGCCAGTGTTGCTCAGTCGTTGAACATCACCTATGAACCAGGAGCTCATGGTTCAATTCCCAGTCAGGGCACATGCCCGAGTTGCAGGCTCGATCCCCAGTAGGAGGTGTGCAGGAGGCAACCGATCAGTGATTCTCTCTCATCATCATATATCTTTCTCCCTCTCCCTTCCTCTCTGAAATCAATACAAATATATAAACAAACAAACAAACAAATAAATATAAAATAAAAAACAGTATATTTACCGACATGAATGTTATCTTTAAATGCCACATCATGGAGTTGAAATATTAAATGGCGGCTAAATTTCTCGTCAGTGCTAGAATCTAAGTTTAAAACATCTTCAGCTGAACAGTTAGCTCTGTATAACTCCTGAAGTGCTTTACAAACATGCTAAAAACACAAGAAACATATAAATATTTTTAAATGTTTTTCATGAGCAAAATTAAAATATCTTGGTACAAATATAATTCATTATTTTTTTTACTCACTTTTTATTTTGATTCACTATCAGAATATATTATACAATATTACCAAATTACTTATGTATTAAATTATATATTTTTAAATTATACATATTTATATTTACAAATTCATAGACTCTCAGGATTAAAGTCCTCCTAGAAGTTGAATAATTTAACTTATACATTTATCTCCTTTAAAATCACAATGAAAATATTTTTAAGCATCTCTTTAAATATCACCTATGAGTTAAAAAGTCACTAATCCTGTTGTTTATCATGTTAGTTTTCAGAAAGTTCCTCAAGCAGATTGAGCCCAAATCCACCTCTAAGAACAAAGTCTCTGAGGCTAGAAGACGCTGACTGAAGGCAGTTCTGCATTATAGTGAGGCAACAGCTTGGGTCAGAAACACCAGACTCAGACCCGGAAAGATCCAGGTTTGAGTTCTGGCTTTGCCACTTAACAGCTCTGTGATTCTGGCCAAGTGCAAACCTTACATTCCTCAACTGCAAAATGGGATATACTAGACCCTAACTTTCGGATTGTTTTAGGGAGGAAAAGAGAAAACGAGGGTAAATAGTTAGTGCAGTGCCTGGCACGCAGAACTGTTCCAAGCATTAGCCATGTAGCCATAGGACCAGTCGCTTCTCCTGAAGCCTCAGTCTTCTCATTTGCTAAACACAGTTACTAAAACTCGCAGGGTTAAAATGTTTGTAAACTGCCAAGCACCCAGCTACCTAAGAGTCGTGCAACAAATTGTATTTATTAATGCTGTTTTGGCATTATTATAGCAACACCCCCCCTCGCTCTCTGATCCTACCCTCTTCAGTAAATTCTCATTTTGCCTCATCTTTACCAGAGCCAACTACTTATAATGTAAGCCAGAGAATTAATTTTTTAAAAAATCCAGAAAATTCCTCAACTGCCACTTCGTTCTCAATGCATTTTTTTTTTTTAAACTGGGTATAGTAATGTTAAAAATTATATGAACATAAACTGAACTTCCTCCTTTTTAGAAGTTTACTCAGAGAAGCAATATTAAGAGATAAATGTCAAAAGGAAGAGTAGCAAGAAACAGGAGGAGAAACATGGAACCTACACAGGGTGTCCTAAAAAAAAGTATACAGCCCTAGCCGGTTTGGCTCAGTGGATAGAGCGTCAGCCTGCGAACTGAAAGGTCCCAGGTTCGATTCCGGTCAAGGACATATGCCCGGGTTGTGGGCTTGATCCCCAGTGGGGGACTTGCAGGAGGCAACCGATCCACGATTCTCTCCCATCATGGATGTTTCTATCTCTCTCTCCCTCATCCTTCCTCTCGGAAATCAATAAAAAAATTTAAAAAAGTATATACTTGGAATGATTATAAAATCAGTGTTTATTAACATACAGTTCATTTGAAAACTTTAAAAGAACGTACAGAAATGAATAATTTTTTTGTCAATGCCTGTTTTCAAACTGATGACTGTTCTGGTCCAGGCACTGCTGATAACATGAAGCAATGGAAGCATAAAAATCAAAAATAATTTTGTTTGGCATTTGTGCATCTTCAATTCATCGGCTGTTGCCAGGTTTTGTACAGTAAACTTTATCTTTTATGTATCCCCATAAAAAAAAATGTCTAGTGGCCCTATAGGATAAATTTTCTTTGTTCAAAGCTTTGTCTGGCTTCACTCATTATTTCAAATCAGTTAAACCTGAAAATGAGTGAAAATTAAGTTAGTTATCAGCTGTTAGAGTGTGCATATATTTTTTGGAATATATATTACATAGGCTAGAGTCACTTAATGAATAAAAATAAAGAGAGACAGATGGATTTAAGGAAAAAAACCTGAGTCTGTAAATTACCTCAATGAGTAATGCAACCATCTTTTTTCCATCAGCTCCAGGATTGGCAAGTTTGTTAAATTCCAGATCAAAATAGAGCTTGCAAACAGCATTTTCAGGAATGACTTCATAGCAGTGTAAGAGATGTTTTCTAAATTGAATAGTTCATGATTGTTAGGTTTGAATCTTATACTTTTTAAATCACAGAACCTGATCTTATATCTCAAGATACTATATTAGCTGTTTTAATTACATATAACTAAATATCTATATATATATAAAAGCCTGGGTTGCAGGCTCAATCCCCAGTGGGGAAAGTGCAGGAGATAGCCGATTAATGATTTTATCACTGACATTTCTATCTCTCTCTCTCCCTCTCTCCTCCTCTCCCTTCCTCTCTGAAGTCAATAAAAAATAACTTTTAAAAATAATAATAATAGATGCTGACTTGATAAAGAAAGGATAACTTGTGCTAAATGAAGAGTGGATGGTTTCCCCACAAATATAAAGTTTGTAGTAATCTGAACAAGGAAAAATGATGAGGGAATTGTGTCATCAAGGGGCACGTGTAGTACAGAACCTACACACACACACACACACACACACACTTTCTTCTCCCAGCACCTGGTGAGATAATTCAATGTTGTGACAAGGAGGAAGCTCCAGAATTCAATTCTAATAGTAAAAGGATAGTAACTAATTATGTGATTGAGAACCATCAAAGCTAATTCAGTCTGAATTCATTTCACATACATTACTAGATGAAGGAAATGTAACTTTAATGTGCTGTCCTTTACAAACTACTTACCGGGATTTATAATGAAACCAAAGCTGAACGTAGCTTGTTACAAGGTAAATACGTTGTCCATCGCCCACTTCGCATTCCAAAGCAAATACATGGACATCCTTTGTAAAATTAAAAAAATTCAAAAACTAATAAAATGAAAATCTAAAGTCAACTATAGCTATTAAATGTCCATAAAGAGTTTTACTATTCAAATTGTCAAACATGGAATTTGAACATTTTATTAAACATATTATTAAAAACAAGAGAAATAATCTCTAGATCTATGCCCATCAAAATCTAGTTATTTGTATTTATTTATTTTTAGTCACTCAAGTAATGCATATGTAAGGCAGAAATTAGAATATTCAAGTTAAAAAGAGAAAGAAAAAAATCAGTTTTCAATCAGTCTAGTTTGACTTTCTATTATAATTGTATTTGCTAATTTATGAAATTAAACTTATTTTTTAAAATTAAACATCATAAATGATTTGGGATAAATTAATAATTCTTTAGTACATATAAAACATGTGGAAAACAATTTTTAAATGAAATATTCATAAGTTAATCTTAAAAGCTTAAAGGAAGTTTTAAAATGCTTAATTTTAACAAGCAACTATAAATTGTCTTTTCTATGAGAAACCAATCTTCTTTAAGTTAATTGCTGTGGCACATGGTATAACTGTGTCTGCTGCCATAGAGAGTTTCTCCCAACAAAGGAAAACTCGATTCCTCTGTCCCCTTTTAGCGAAAGGCAGCTGTTGAGCCTAAAGAAACTAACTTCCATTTTCATGCGTGAGAAATGCTAGGAGCACTAGGTGGCCTGATCGATTAACATCTTCCTGAAATAAACTTTCTAGGCTGCCGACTGTTTAAGTGCAGCCACCATATGCCTCTGTGTGTTTTTTAATTCAAGATCAAATGAATCTGCCAGTATTTACACTTCTGATACCTGAATGTGGTTTACACAGAACAAGCATGAAAAGTGTTCCTTATGTTTCCCAAACTATATGATAAGATCTGAGTGAGCCTCTCCTTACACAGCAAAGGGGCCTTGTCTTAAACTTTCAGCACTGAGTTTTTGTACAGCATCAATGATCAGAACCACAATATATTGATGCTAGATTTCATAAATGCATCTTTTCATTACACAGCTGACCTTTAAACAATGCAGGGGTTAGGGCACCGACACCCATACAGTCAAAAATCTGTGTCTAACTTTTGACTCCCCAAAAACTTGACTAATAGCCTTTTGGTGACCAGAAGTCTTACCAATAACAAAAACAGTTGATTAACACAGATTCTGAACACGTACAGGCACAGCTTATTTTATTGCCCTTCAGATGTGTGTCATACAAGTTGAAAGCAACACCCGACAGCAGCAAAAAGATTATGACCAGCTTTACTGAGAGAAACTCACTTTAGTGCGGGGGTCTAGGACCAAACCCGTAATAGCTGAGGTATGCCGGTACTATATTCCATATTTTTACCATAAAGTAAGCTAGCAAAAAGAAAATGTTATCAGGAACATTATAAAGGTGAGAAAGTGCATTCACAGTGTATACTGAAGAAATCCAGGAACAAGTGAACCCACACAATTCAAACCTGTTATTCAAGGGTCACCTGCGCTTCTTTTTATTCCCCACAATGCCCCTAGAACAAATGTGTGCAAAACACATCTGATTTGCCCTAACCAGTTTGGCTCAGTGGATAGAGCGTCAGCCTGGGGACTGAAAGGTCCCAGGTTTGATTCTGGCCAAGGGCATGTACCTTGGTTGCGGGCACATCCCCAGTAGGAGGTGTGCAAGAGGCAGCTGATCGATGTTTCTAACTCTCTATCCCTCTCCCTTCCTCTCTGTAAAAAATCAATAAAATATATATTTTTAAAAAACCCAACACATCTGATTTGGGTTATTTTTGAGCATCACATCCTTTGTGAGGCTAGCTGCTCTTCTCTTCCCACTTGTTGCAAGCTCTTCTCGTCCCACTTGCCCAATGTGTTGGAAACTGTTATGATAAACACACCCTATGACTCCCAAGCACAGAAGGAGATAGTAGAAAGAAACACATGTGTGCACTGGCACTATGATTTAAGTTCCGGAGCTTATTAAATGTAAGCTATAATATTTGAAACATTTTCATTTCCTACTGTTTAAATTCAATTCTCCTTTCCCTAATTTTGTCCTTAAAAAAATCTCATATGCCACTCATTCATTTCCTTGAATTTCTGTATTGTTTTAGTTTTACTCTTAAAAACTCATTCTATTACTTTTCAGTCTACAAACATGGCCACTCTTCCTCTAAGCACCGCTTCATTTACATGTCATTACAATTTTTAAAAATTAATTGGCACTAGACATGTCATTCTTTTTCATTATTAATATAAAGGAAATGGCTAATGACTCGTAGGGATGTTTTTCCCAAATCATGTGATATTAAGATCACAATTAAATTCTTTTGGTTGCGCCAAAACCGGTTTGGCTCAGTGGATAGAGCAGCCGTGGGCAAACTACGGCCCGAGGGCCGGATCCGGCCCGTTTGAAATGAATAAAACTAAAAAAAAAAAAAAAAAGACCATACTCTTTTATGTAATGATGTTTACTTTGAATTTATATTAGTTCACACAAACACTCCATCCATGCTTTTGTTCTGGCCCTCCGGTCCAGTTTAAGAACCCATTGTGGCCCTCGAGTCAAAAAGTTTGCCGACTCCTGGGATAGAGCATCGGCCTGCGAACTGAAAGGTCCCAGGTTCGATTCCGGTCAAGGGCATGTACCTTGGTTGCGGGCACATCCCCAGGGGGAGGTGTGCAGGAGGCAGCTGATCGATGTTTCTAACTCTTCATCTCTCTCCCTTCCTCTCTGTAAAAAATTAATAAAATATTTTTTTAAAAAAATAAAAAATAAATAAATTCTTTTGGTTGCTATGTGGCCTGAAATAAAGACACACTTGATTTTTTTTTTTCTTTTAGAAATTGTTAAGTTATAGTAGCTCTAAAAACAAGGAGATGAAAACATTACCTCTTTGCAGCTTTTAACAAAATTAAAAGCCTGAGTTTGGCGAGGAAATAGTTTCCAAATAGAGGGCGGCTCTTCTGGCTTGGACAGCCTGGGCCTGTACACTGAGGACAAGGGCTTCCTTTCATAACGGGATGCTCGCTCTTCAATTTGCTTCAGTTTTGCTTCCCATCTTCTCTTCATGGGGTCAGAAGTGTGGGGAGACCAAGTCCTATCCCATGTAAGATGGCTACCCTTTACACCTAAAACAAACACACACACAGGGACATCAGTGTCTTTGTTTAGGATAAATTGTTTGGTAAAACTTCAAAACGCATTTTCGACTCTGCTTTCTATTGTATGTTTTGCATGAAGTTTTCATGTGAACGAGAACGGAGCTGGTTACCAGAAACTGTTAGATCCAGGTCTCACATCTAACAATTTGTGGTTTTGGACAATCTCCCTGAATCTTCCTCACCTGCAGAATGGGAACCAATCTCTTTTTTAATACTTTACGTAGTTACCTTGAGGATAAATACATAAGACTTATGAAAACGTTTTGTAAATTTCAAGGCCTCATGTAGATGTGTTTTTGTATCATTACGGTTTCCATTATGACCATTTTATTGCATCAGATGCTCTCCACCTTCCCCAGCTGGTGCTCCTACCTTGGCCATCACTCTTGTGCTATGGTGAGTGTAGAGTTCATTTCTAGGTTCCACTGTGCAGTTCAGAGCTCCCTTTTCTTCTGTTTCTCTTCAATGCTCTCAACACAACTGCTCGTTGGGAGGATAACTCAGCGTATACTATAAATGTGAAATACAATATTGGCTAGTTTTGCTTTGCAATGTCTATAGTAATCATAAGGATGATTTTAAAAAGGAATAAATAAATCTTCTGTCTGTTAATTTAATGACTGTGTGAATGACTGCATTTTAACTCTTGTTTATTAGTGACATTTGTTTTTGTTTGCATACAATACTTTCATGTTAGCCACACCAAGGTAAGAAATCAGGCAACACTTTTCCAATCTGGGATTATGGTTTACTTACAAAGGAAAAGGGATATGTTTTTAGAAGGGTTATGAGTGCGTATGAGTTTGTGTGTGCACGCGGGGGGGGGGGGGGGTGGTGCTGTAGATTGAAAATGGCCACCAATTCTTTGCCATTCCTCTCATCAAGAGATGCCATCTAAGCCCATTCCCATACTGACTCAGCTTGGACATGTGACTTGCTTAGGCCACATTACATCAACGAATGTAAAGCAAACAGAGGGTTAATAAGTGCATGGCATTGAATGTGGCGATCTTGGCGTCCCTTCCTTGAGACTGTCATGCTATAACTAGCCTCAGGGAGGATAAAAGCCACCTGGAGGAGAACCAAGGTACCCCAGCTAACAGCCAGTACCAACTCTCAGATGATATGAGTTAAGCCATTTTGGATTATCCAACCATCATCAGAATTCAATGCATGAGTGAGCCCAAGTAAATTCAGGTGAGACCTGCTAAAGAACTGCCCAGGCAACCCACAGAACTGTAAAAAAAAAATCTGTTGTTTTTTTAAAGCCAGTAAGTTTTGGCCTGCTTTTCATACAGAAATACATAACTGATAATAGTTTCCCTCTTCATTGATAACATTTATATCATAATTTGTCTATGTTGAAAAACAGGATATTAGTTTAAGTGAAATAATAATATATACTAAAGTATTTCAGGGTAAAATTCCTGTTTACCTTTGGCACTTTCTAGTACTTGTACTTATCAAGTTGATAGTCTCTTGAATTTTAGCAGAAAACTCTGAGACAGCACAAACTCACAGTATTCCCTGGAAGAAAAAAATAATCACCCTAAAAGATTAAGAGAGGGTAGGAATGAATGTCATGACATGGTTAAAAAAAGAAAAAAGTTATTATCCATAGATTCCAATCTGACTTCAAACATAGCAGACCTAAGATTCTTCTCTCCAAGTTACAGCTAATCCACATGAAAATTATAAACCAAGAAGCAGAAATATAGTTCTAAAGGTATCAACATAAATTTCATAACCGATATGCTTAGGAAAGTAATGTAATTTCATTGGATTGAAGAAATGGGGCAATTTTTAATAAAACTGCTTTAGTTTTTGTTTTTTTTCAATACAAAGTGGTGTGACTCCTTATTGCTAGATTCTGAGTATTCAGTTCACTTTAATCTGCTTCACATACAGATAAAAATCCCCCACATTTAGACAACCTAATTGAGAAACCAACTTTTCTTCTGTGAAATCTGACTTTTAAGAAAGCCCACAGATTACTTAATGAAGAACATAAACACAGAATGCAATCAGATGCGAATTACAGCTCATGTACCTAGCCCATAACTGACAAGGAAAAACCATGTGGATATTCACACTTAGTGGGACACTGACATCACAAGAAACGGTTTTGATTTTGTAAAATTATTGGTATGACCATGGGACTGTGTCATACTTGCAAGTCATGGAGTCATAGTGGAAAACCAGTTTAGCACTTATTGGACTGAGAAAACCATAAATGTCAACAGAGAAAAAAGAGAAGTTCAATATACGTTACTAGAGGCCCGGTGCACAAAATTCGTGCAAGGGCCTTGGCCCTCGCAGCCCAGCCCACTGGTCGTTCAGGAAGGTCACTCCCCTGTCCAGTCTAATTAGCGTATTAGCTCTTTATTATACAGGATACCCTCATGTGCTTTGCACAGTTTGAAACTTTTAACAGCTGGGTTGAGGGCTAGAAGACAACTGGAGGTGGGACTATTCCCGCAGGAGGGCTGGAGGACACAGCAGAGGCCATGGAGAACAGGAATGCATCAGGCATTCTGGTTGTGGACTACCATATTCCTCACGCCTACCCTCTGCGGGAACCATTTCAGAAACACCTGTAATTCCTGGTGGGGAAAGAGTTCTGTTTCACTTTTACATAATTGTACAGCAAAACCGCTTTTCACATAGGGACCGTAACTATTTTTATTTAAGTTTCCAAATTCCAAAGAAAAGTATTTGTGGTATTTTAAAACAGTAGGCTTTAAGAGCACTATTATTTATTTCTAAACATTGCACCAGAATTTTTATTTAATCGTGTTTGATACTGATTTTACAACTAAAGGTGGTCAGGATAAAAGGCTAGCTTCTGCTAAAATGATTAGAGGAACTATAGGTTCTGGAGAAGGGGAAGTGGGGAGTGAGGTGGAGAGATGACAGATGAAAAAGCTAAACAGCCCGGTTTCCCTCGGTTTATGCCTAGACTTGCCTGCTGTGCCACTTGGCCTGGTACCCAGGCACAGTTGGACAAGGGGGCGAGTGCTTCCTGACAACTGGCTCCGCGGGAGATCTGAGGCCTGCCTTGCCATGGTGTGCCCAGCCCAGTTTTCCTGCTTGTTTGTTTAATCACGAGCCAATTCTTATTCCCCAACTCCAACTTTTCCCTCTGCCCCAAGAATAGATACATCAGTATTTTGTGTTCTCTGGCATTTATGTTCTAGTTCTAGTATTTAGTAAGGTTCTGGTACTGGGCAATGTTTTCTTACTATAATCCTTTTATGGCCTTTTGGAATACATTTATGCTATTTCTCCCACTGCTAAACTTTTCAAAATAAAGTATGTGATTAAAATTCACTCCCAGTAACAGTATTATAGAAATTTGCTTTCCAGAGGAGTAACGCCTTAAGAAGTTAAGTAAAACCAATTCACTGACTTTTGGGTCTTCCTCACTTTAATCACTTCACCTGCCTGTTTTTGAACAGAAGTAACTCCTATTTAAATTTCCCAAAAGTCTCCTATCAGGGATAGGACACACTGTCCTTTTCCAGTCCCTTCTTCCCACTATCTCCAGAGGGTCTCCCAGCCAAAAAGCCTAACTCTGCCTGACTCATCACCCTGAAGTCCATTTTCATACCTCTGCATAGAAACACTCACTCATGACTCGGAGCATCCCTCAATGCACTTTTGCTTTACCGCAAGAAGACCCAGCTCCAGAATCCAGCCCTAAACCAGTTACCCAGTTTATGTCTTGTTGCCCAGCCTTCTCCCCTAATAAAAATGATAATGACCACTCACTCCCTGCACCTGGCCACTCCCAGGCCCACGTGCCTGTTGCACTCACCGGTCATGCCCACTTGCCTTTCCCACAGTCTTTCCCTTCACCGCTCAGGTCAAGTTCTGCCACCTGCGGGGCCTTTTATAAAAAGAAATTGCTGTACTGACTCATCAGACAGTGCCTCCAGCCACAAGACCAAGTAAATTAGTGTAATTTAAGGGAAAACAGAAAACTGCTGCTGCTGTCTGATCGGGAGCATCGTTTTGGTAAGAAAGCTTAGCCCGGGGAGGGTCTGGGCATAGCAAAGGGCTGATATGCCGGCGCCTTCCTTAGGAGCCACTGTATGCGAACCATGGTCAGGAGTGGGAGTGGGTCCCGTCCTCCCGTTTTACTGCAGCAACAAGAAAAGGGCTGCCTGCACTGGTCCCCGCTCAATTTGGGAGAGATTAAGGAAGGCCTACATGTTATTCCTGGGGCCCGAGTTGAACTCCTGTAACAAAAAGCAAACCACTTCACCTTTCTTGAAGCCTGCGCGGGGACTGGAATGCACCCCTCCGGGGGTTGTTGAAAGAATAAAATAAGAAAATGTGTGGCAATGTAAGAGCACAGAACAAGCACTCCGCAAGTGGTAGCCACGTATGTAACACCCCAGATTCATGCACAAAACACAGGCCCCCCGACTTGGGCCGGAATGGGCAGTAACAGTGCCGGGCCCGTGGGTTCTTCGCGCGGGAGCCCTGGTTTGTCAGAATGTCACGAACCCCTTGAATTTTGATTCTGAACTTGGCTGTCCAATGCGCTGGTACACTCTTCAACGAAAACAATTCCGAGTTTGCATCCAGGCCAGGAACGCCTAGACCCGAACGTGGCGGGAAACCCGGGGGAGGGAGGGGGCGGGGCAGAGGACGCCGGGGCGGGTCGGGGCCCGCTCCCTTCCTCCCCGAGTTCAGACCGGGCGTCAGGCCCGCCTTGCTCCCCTTCCCTCTGCCCCGGGGCCCGACGCGGCCATCAGGTCGCCCCCCTTTACCTCCAGAAACCCGCTTCCTGGGCGGGAGGCCCTGCCTCCACGGCGGCCGCCGCAACCCGGGGAGGCCGGATTGCGGTCTTCAAATAGCGCGCGGGGCTCGCATCCGGGGCAGGAAGGCGGGGGCGCGCGGGCCTATGAGAGCGGCGGGGGCGGGGCGCGCGGGCCTATGAGAGCGGCGGGGGCGGGGCGCGCGCGGGCCTATGAGAGCGGCGGGGCCCGAGGGGTGGGACCCAGCCTGGTATCTGGACGCGGGCCTCTTGCCGCGTAATCCGAGCGGAGACGGAGCCGGGAGGCTGCCCCGCGGAGGCCGGGCTGTGCCGAGGCTGGAGCTGTGCGGAGCCTGCGCGGAGGCTGTGCGGCGGCTGTGCGCGGGCTGTGCGGTGAGTGCTGCCCGCGGCCCTTCTCGCGCGGGGCCGGCGGTCCGCCCGCTCCCTCCATCCTCCCAAGCCCAGCTCCCCCGCGGGGACCAGCCCGGGCCTGCAGCTGCTCCAGGGTGGCGGAGGCGAAGGGCTCGAACCGGGCCGCGGACCTTTTGTTTTGCCACGACGGGGGTTGCGAGGACTTGCACTGAGGCCCGCGGCGCGGGAGCCCCTGGATGGTGGGAGGTGGGAGGCCGGGCGGGGAGCGTGGAGGCCGGACAGCGGAGACCGGGCTGGGGATGCCGAGCCGGGGAGGACGGGAGGATCCAGAGGCCGGGCCAGGAGCGTCCAGGCCGGTGGTGAGGGGCAGGGAGGCGGGCGGGCGAGCGGGCGGGAAGCAGGAGGCTGCACCCGAGGCGGGGTAGCGGGAGGCTGGGTCCCGGGCGGGAGGCAGCGGGCGCTTGGGGAGTGAGAGTGGCCAGCAGTGCGGGCTGAGACTTGGATCGGGAAGGTGCCGAGGAAGATCGGCGACCAGAAACAATGGCCAGAGGGCAGGAGGCCTCGGGCGGGAGGCGGGTGTGGTGCCGCCGTCGATGGGGCGCTGGCCCTGCGGCTGACCCTCCGTTTATTGGGCTGCGTTGTGGTCTCGGCTCTGTTCTGTCTCAGCTTCGATTTTCTCGCGTTAATTGTGTGACTCAGTTTTCCGGCGAAGTCATTGGAAGCCTTAAACTCCAATTCCTTCCGAGACCTCGTGAATCCTTGCAGCTCATTCATCCAGTGGCTTTGTATCCGAGGCCAAAGTCACCGGGGAGCTGCTTTGAACCCCACCCCCATCTACTCTCACCCCCACCCCCATCTACTCTCACCCCCACCCCATCTACTCTCACCCCCACCCCATCTACTCTCACCCCCACCCCCTCTACTCTCACCCCCCCACCCCCATCTACTCTCACCCCCCAACCCCCTCCCAGGCCACGTGGAGGAAGAGGGTCACTGTTTTCAGTGTGTCCTGTTCTCCAGGCATCTGCTGCTTTCCTGGTGACACCCAAACCAACAAACCGGGAACCAATCTCTTGACTCTTTCTCAGCTCCTTCCCCATTTAGCCACCCAACCACCTTGACCTCCTGTATGTCCACTAGATCTGTCTGCTTCTTTCTATCACTGACTTAAGCCACCCGAGGCTCTCACCTGGTTACAGGTCTCCATGCTTCCAGACCTTCTGCCCGCCCCCCCTCCCTACTCTTGATAGCACAGGCCGAGGGGTCTTTACAAAATAAAAACCTAGAACGAATTTCCTTTGCCCGAATGATAAACCCAGTCTCTTAATGCGTTTAACAAAGCCAAGCCCAGGTTGGCTCCTTGGTCCCCTCCCCCACCTTATCTTTTGTTATAGGGCCTTTTCACTTTCCTCATAGCCATGCATTTGTTTTGTTTTTGTTAATCCTCCCTTGAGGATATTTTTCCATTGACTTTTAGGGAGAGTAGAAAGGAGGGGGAAGAGACAAAGAGACACATCAATTGGTTGCCTCCCACAGCCCCAACCAGGGCGGGCAATCTAGCCTGCAGTGGGTACATGCCCTTCAAGGGAATCGAACCCGGGACCCTTCTGTCCACAGGCGGTAGCTCTATCCACTGAGCCAAACAGGCCAGGGCAGCCATATGGACCTTCATACTTGTTCTCTGCCTGAAACACTTGCATTCCCTCCCTCCATCACATCACATTTGCTTGAGGAACCCCGTGTATGTTTCTGCTCTTACTAAACACTCCACAGTTTTCCTATTATGTGTCCCTTTTGCATGTGTCACTTCCTAAAAAAAAAGTCATATCCTTTGCAGTTGCTTGTTTACTGGGTTTTTTCCATACCCAGGGCCTGGAACTGTCTACACTGCAGATTTGATTTATGCTTTCTTATTATTACGCCCTATCGAGGAAAGCTAAACTGTTTCAGGATTACTTAGCAAAGTAGAAGATGTGGATCGGAAAGGAATGGTAGAGGTGAAATACGGAGTTGCTGGAACCATGTGAGTGTGCAAGATTGTAACAGGTGCTAGCACGGTGCTTAGCCCAGCCTGTAGCAAAGTGTGCTCAGCCAGTTTGAGTGAAGTGTTGTACATACGTGACCTCTAAGAATGAAACGTAAAGCTTAAGTCATTCCTGTCACAACCTGATTGTTGGTTGAGCTTTGGTTTTGTTCTGCTCTTTTGCAAAAGAAGGCTGTTGAAAGTTATAATGTATTTTAATGAATGGATGGACAGTTTATTGGAGTTTGGCAATAAAACCTGTTCATAGAAAAAAAAAAGAGAGAGAGAGATGAAACTCTGTACCTAATTAAATCAGGTTTTCTTTTACTATCCTGAAAAAAGGCCTTGCCTCTGAAAGACATTTACAATGCTTCTTTGCTGTTTTGCTTTCAAATTTAATTTAACAATCTCTTACCGCTTCATCCCCCTTCTAATGCTAGAAAGCAGTCTTTATTTTCATGAATGGCATTAAATACATTCTGGTGCCTACTTTTAGTTTTTTTAAGCTCTGTTTCACAGATGAGAGCACTGACTGGTGTTTGTGGGGCTAGAAAAGATGTGGGAATTCTTAGACTGTTAGATACTGTTTTGTACACATTTAACAAATATGAATGTAATGGAGGGGGCTAGGGAATAGGTCCTCTGTAGTCAGGACCTGAGGCCTGGTCCCAAGGGCAGCACTCACTAGCTCATCCATAAATTAGGCATAAGTAATACACATGCCTCAGGCGGTGGCTGTGGGTGTAAAATGTGGAATCTGACAATGCTTCGTAAATCTCTATGTAATGTTGTTATTTCTCTGCCTGTTTTGTTCTTGCCTTCAAATTGCTAATAGAGCTTCTGAATTAGGGTGGAATAAGATGACATTATCTGACACAAACTTGACCTTGTCTGACCTCTGCCTGGTTGGGCCACTTTGGAATACCAGTGAGCATTGTGTAAGGCCCACATGGGGATAGGATCTTGGTTTCTCCCATTCCTCGATACCCTCAGGATTTACTACAGAATCTGCACGCAGTTGGTGTTCAGTAGGTTATTATGGGACAAATGAATCAGTGCCCCTGAGACGAACTACTCAGTTTCAGACTTGCTCTGGCGGGCAGTGGTTGCAAACCTGAATCAGCTTCTACTTCCACGGAGGAGCGGTTCTCAGTGGGAGGGAGGAGGCCTTAGAGCAGTGGTTCTCAACCTTGGCCGAACATTAGAATCACCTGGGAATCTTTAAAATCCTGATTTCTGGGCCTCATCCTCCGGAAATTCTGTTTCTTTGTTATGGGGTGGGGCCACAACATTAGTAACAAAGAAACAGAATTTCCGGAGGATGAGGCCCAGAAATCAGGATTTTAAAAAGATTCCCAGGCGATTCTGATGTGCAGCCTTATAGGTTATCTGTGATTTTTATAAAAGGTATCCAAGGTCCTTCACTCTGCCTGAGTGTCATACAACATATGGACTTTCCCATTTCCCCTTTGTCCCCCCAGAAATACTATCTTAGGGCCTCAGAAGAGGGGAAGACAGACCCCTTGCGAGGCTCATGGCTTTGAAGTGGGGAGCACTCTAGTCTGTCTTTTTGGGTTTTGTTTGTATGGCACAACTAAAACTTAATTTTGTTGTATTTAATTTTATTTGCCAGTGGTGTGTTTTCACCTTAATGATAAAATTATTAAAAGATCAACTTCACCAGGCCCAGTGACAATCTCCAGTTTTGGGGCTTCTTAGAAGTCCCTGAAGAAATCAGAGAGCAGATGGGAAACAATTGCAACAGAACCTCTAGCACATTATAGCTGAACCCTTATCCAAACTGCTGTGGAGAGTATGTTCTTTCTGTTTCACTTACTAAATCTGGAAATGTGACAGCTTTTGGGGACTTTGTCCTCTGGCAGGTGATGAATACAGTCCTCGTGTTTTTCATGTTCTTTGGCAGAGCCATGGTCTCCAGAAGTCCTTACGGAAGGTTCCTGTAGAGAGAAATCGAGATTTGAAAATATGTCTTCATGACTTATACTGGCTGCTTAACATGAAATTGGTTATTTTACTTTTTTAGAAGTAACCCAGAAGCATCATAACCATTATTTCTGTTTTCCTTGTTAATTAAAGTAAGCCTACTATGTCCTATCTTTTAAATACGTACATTTTTACTGATTTCGGAGAGGAAGGAAGAGGGAGAAATAGAAACATCAGTGATGACAGAGAATCATTGATCGGCTGCCTCCTGCACGCCCCCTGCTGAGGATCAAGCCCAGAACTTAGGCTTGTGCCCTGACCAGGAATCGGTCTGACTATCCATTTTCATACCAGGGTTTTGTTTTTTCCTTCCTAATTCCCTCCTGGTTCGCAGGTCGACGCTCAACCACTGGCCGACACTGGCCTGGCTACTGCATGCCGTTTCCATGCCTCTGCAGCCCGTTTCTTTCATGTAACTTATGCCTTTTGTCGCCTCTTGATTAGAGCTTCTCGTTAAGGATTTTTGTTTCCTTCCCTGGAAATATCGCTCGTATTACCCTTTCTGTATGTGACTAAGCTGTGTGGACCAGCAGGAGTGTGCCCCTGGAGATAGACACATCCTGGTTTGCATCCTGGCTCTGCCACTTCAAAGTTGCTTAATTGCTCTAAGCATCAGTCGACTGAACTATGAAGTGGGAATCATTATGCCTCAGCATGGAAGGACTGACCAGAAATACATAAATAAATAATCCTTACGGAACAGTGCCTCTTCCCCAGTCTTGCCGGGATGAGCCTGCTAGAGAGGAACTGTTATTACATAACGCTTTGTTCACAACACTCAAGTGACATAGGCATTGTGGTTTTCTGACCTTTTCTTTGGCTAGCTGTTTTGGTAAATCTTAAAAAAAGATTTTTAAGAGATCCATATTCATGGAGATGATTCAAAAGTGAGCAGCGTTAGTTCTTATGTGTCATTTGAGATTTACAACCCATTAGGGCAGAGACCAGGCACCGGAACAGCCTATGTGGGTGACATGTTAGCTGAGTAGGAATCTCTCAGGCTGGTTATACTAATTTAATATCTCATTTTGAAAACTTTACCATTAGCACACTTGCTAACTTTTCATTTTAATACCAGGATTTCGGGGTTTTTTTCCCCCTCCAAATTTTAATACTTCATAATTTCAAGTCAAAATTTCAATTATAGCAAAAAAAACCAAAACTAACTTTTATTCCTCTGCCTTAACTCTGTAGATGATTAATCCTGCTTTCCTTCTTATTGCACTGATTTTTTTTTTTTTTTAATGTTCCCAGTAGGCTGAATGCTATGCTACCAACATAGCAGAAAAAAACTTATTGGGGAAATGTTTTGTGGTCATTTGCACTGATTTTTGAAGTTCTGACTCTTGTAGCTTTAGTGCTAAGTGCTGAAGGACTAGGGACTAGAGGAGATTGAGATTCTAAGACCCGAGTTCTGGTTGTCTCGTTTCAATGGGTAGACGTACTTAGAACTTCTCTGGGGCCTAATGCCCTCAGTATCCTGAATTGATGGAAATAATTACAGACAGCCAGAAACAGTGTTAAGTCACTGCTGTGCCAGGATATGTTTTTAAAACCCCTATTGTATATTTTCCTATTTATGTTTGTCAAATGAAAATGTTCTAAGAACTTAAACTCCTGTTGGCAGCGAGGGCATTAAATTTTCCCCTGGGGGATAATTTGTTTGTCCTTCTAAGATGAGATCACCAGCACAGCTTGCATGCAGCCAGGCATTAGCTAATGGCCGTGAGGTAATGCCGAGTCTGACACCAACTCCTGCAGGCAGAGGGCCCTGCTCCCAGGAGTGGGACTGGTGCCTTTATGTGGGAAAAGCAGATGGTGACAATGAGAGCAAATGTGCAGCTGTCTGATGCAATGAGGATTTTATTTACCGTGACCTAATCTTTTAATAGTGCATGAAGGTCCACTGACACTGTTGCAATATATATTATTCAGATCCTAATAATGAAGGAACAAAAGTACATTACAGTGTTTGTTGCTGAGAAGTCCTTCTCAAATTATTAGACTCTGTTTTAAATCCTATTCTGAAAGAATACATGTTTTTATTTTATTTTAGCCACCAACTACCTTCCTGAAACAAAACTGTCTATCTCATCTCTGCTATCAGAAAGTAGAGATAGGACACCCTATGAAACCAGATAATCCCTGAGATTCCTGTAGGTAGTGCCCGGCACCACACTGAAATCATATCTAGTAATTTTCTTGGCCCGTTTCCCAGTCTTGGACAGTTTTTCCTAACAACCCCCACTGTACGCATGACCTTAAGCCAACGGTCTTCTGGCCTCTTCTGAACTGACCTCTGAGCAAGATTTGAAGCAGCCCAACCCTCCTTGAAAGACTTCTGCGTGTTCTGGCACCCCACATTCACCTGATCCCGCCACCACCGACCACCACCACCTCTCTTTGGCCCACTTCCTCTGGTAGCCCTGTAAGTACCGGAGTGCCCAGTATTTCTCCAGCCCTGCTCTGGCCTGAGATCCAGCCTCTTAACCACCTTTATGTGTGCCTCTGCACCAGCCTTTTACAGCAGGGTGGTCTGTTGAAAGCATGCTGTTTCTCCTGGGCTGAGAACACTCCGTGGTTTCTCCTTGCAGAATCTGAGCTGCCCTTGGCTCCGAAGGTCGCCTTTCCTTCTTCACCTCCCTTTACCGTGCACTGTCTAAACTGGCCTTTCTGCATCGTGAATACACCAGGCGCTTGCAGGACCTCTGTGCTTGCTGGTCCTTCCCCCAGCAAGGACAGCCCCTACTGGGAGCCTTCTTGTCACTTAGCTCTCAGTGTAAATCTGTAATTATCCTTCCTCAGTTAAGAAAGAAAGATTGAGAGAGTAATGGGCTACATTACACACACCTTTACAAAAGATTATTCTCAGGTTTGACTCACAGAAACCTTTACCAGTGCAGGGGAAGCAGAGGGAGGCGTGGCAACCTAATGTGGAAATGTCCATGCTATGTCTTACTTTGGAGAAATAATCTTTGGAATAATTCATATAAGGCAGTGATCGTATAGTGACTGACTTTGATTAATTTCTACTTTCTTTATATTCTAGTTAATAAAAGTATCCATGGATAACACTGACGACTCAGTGGATTCAAAGTCCATCAAGAATTCGGACATGTGAGTATTTCCATGGGATCCATGTAATGAAAGACGGTTGTGATATAGCAAACTAGTGGGGAAGCAGAAAGAGGATGGGGCTGTAAGCCAAGACCCACTTGGCTTTCTACCTCAACAGCTGTGTGGCTTTCCGCATGTTAACCTCTCCCGAGTCTCCTCTTTAAAACAAAGATTTCCCGGGACTGTGGGTAACATTGAGGGGAAGACCAGATCCATTGCTGGGCCCCTACTCGGAAGCCCGTCCCAGAAGCAGAGGGACCTCACAGGAGAGGCAGGACTCAAAGGCTCTGTCCCTCCCCACACTGCTCTGCAGGGCGAGAGGGTTCGTGTTGGGGGTGTTTGGGCCTCCTGTTTGTTTATGGGTTTTAAGACAAATGAAATGCCAATTCTCAATCTGGGGAAAAAATTGCCTAGTTATAAATTATCTTTTACCCTTTATTTTCTCATTCTTTCTGTTTGGGATATTCTGTGTATTAATGCTTCCAATAACCAGCAGATAGAGAAAGGAAAGAGATAAAACTCAAACACTCTTAACTCCTATCTTTATGACCTATTTGAGATCTCTTGTGATACTTTTAATTCTAAAAGTTTATTTCTGGGACCAGTATTATTATTTTGGACTATTCAGGGAATTACAGGCTAATTCTAGTACTAAATAGCAGTATTACAGCAATAGTATTAACAGGTTGCCCATAAGAATTTAGCTATGATTGTTTAGTAAAGGAATTTCCCTAGAAATTAAACTTTGAAATATGAGCTCATTTTAGAGGATTTTCATTTCTTTTTAAACCCATTCAAAATTATTTACACATTTTCATATCTTTTATATCATAGTAGAACATAATTTAATAGCAAATTGCATGGGAGCCCAAAATAGACTTAGGTCTGTTTTGATCCTATGGTATGTTATCATCATGTTCCTAAGCTTTCTGAGTCTCTACTGCGTATCAGGTATGTCCCCTACCAGTCCAACTATTTTATTATTGCCTGTGGAGGAGCATGTACCCTAAGGGGGCAGCAGGAGAGCAGGAGGCGGTGGGGAATTAATTCCGGGACCTATTATCTGTGTGACCTTCAACAAGTCACTCAGCTTTCAGAGTTTGAACTTCCTTATCTGTAGAATGTGACTTCCTTAATTTACAACTTACTGTTCTCACCTTTTCCCAACCACTTTTTTAGAGCTGTGTGTAATGGGCAGTGCTCTCAGATAAAGTGCAGAGTATGTGGTCTGTAGATACCGATGTTTGTTCCTGATTCCTGGTCTAGACCAGGGGTCATGCTTGCACTCTCTTTTGGTCAAGTTCTATTGGAACATAACCACACCTGCTTGTTTAAATATCGCCCTGGGCTACTTTGACCAGCAGAGCGACAGACAGCGTGTGGCCTGCAAGCCTAAAATGCTTAGTATTTGGCCCTTTTTAGGGAAAGTTTGCTGGCCCTGGTCTGGATAATAGAGGTTTTGGGATAAGTGACCTTCAGACAAGCATTTTCCGTTATTTACAATAGTGATTCTATGTATTAATACATTTTTAATTTGTTCAGCTCGTAGGTTTTAAGGAACAATTTAGGAATTGTGATATATATTGTGTTTTAAAGTGAAAAATGTATTTGATGGAATTTTAGTAAAATTGAGAGGAAAGCAGAGTATAGAGATTAAAAGCCTACACTCGGAAGGCCAACACCTACCTTCGGCCTCGGCACTGACACAGCATCTGCGTGACCTTCGGCACATCGCTTAGCCTCGTGGTGGTCATTTCCTCTCTGCGAAAGGGATGCTACAAATGTTCACTGTGCTTCTGTGTGATTCACTTATATCCATGAGAGCTGCAACCTTGGTAAGCTGTTGTTTGATTTCCAAACAGAAAGCCCTTCCATGGCAGCAAATCCATGGACTCTGGAATATCTCTGGACAATACTTACAAGATGGATTACCCTGAAATGGGCTTATGCATCATAATCAATAATAAGAACTTCGATAAAAGTACTGGTATGTGTCATGACCTAATTTTTTTAACTCTTCAAATATTTGTACCATTTATATTTGGTATAATATCAAAGATAGTATTGATGTTATTACACTATGACACAGATTAGCCATGAAGTGGAGATAGAGCAGGATGCTACAGGCTCTATAACACAGATGAACTCTTCTATAGCTAATCTACCATCATCAAAATCTCTCCCTTTTCCAACACCTCGCCTCCTATCGGCCTTGACTTCTATAAATCTTGCTTCTCTGTCCATCTGCCCCCTCTTTTATGCTAATGAAAGGATTACAACAAATAGCAAGTAGTAGTGTTTTTTCTTTCCTGGAACTGCAAGGTACCTCAGAGGTATTGTCTCATCTAATTTTTACAGCAACCCTGAAAAGTAACCACTCTTAGATGCCAAAGGTTAAGCTCCCTGCAGAGTCCCACGGGTAACTTCGTGGCAGAGCTGTCCTCAGCCTTGACGCCTGACCCCAGCCTGCTCTGAGCCCACTTCCTGTTTCTTCACTTCCCGTGTCCTGTTGACTTTTTCCTCTTCCCTGCAAAGATGACAGACTCCCTTCTCAATGAGACCTTTCTTTTGTCCTGCTTCCTCATTAGCTTGGATCTATTTTTTGTCTCCTTTCCTACATCTTAAAAACTTGTGCTTTAAGCTTGCCATCTTCACGTCCTTCCAACCCCCTTAAACCGGTATTCCCTGTTTTCCACTTCCAACACTCTACTGAAACTCCTGTTAGGTTCACCTGGCATGATCACCAGATTCCCTTCTCAGCCTCTACCTTGTACAATTTGGATCTAATAATACCTTTCAGAATTTTTTTAGAGGATTAACAGTAAGTTGTAAAAAACAAAATTCCTCACAATCCTAAAAAGCTAATTAACATGGTGATATATTGCTTGCTATTTTTTCCTTGACAGTTTCTTTCAAAAGTTCATTTTATTCATAATATACAAGCAACATTGTATCCTGCTTGTTCCACTTAAGGTAATATAAGCATATTTTATGGTGCCATATAATTTTTATATCTGATATTTTAATGATTATATAATATTCCACACCCTAAATATACCATCCACTTGATTTGCAAAATTGACCATAAAGTTGAACATTTTGGCTATTTTTGTCAATTTTTTTCACCTATAAATTGATGCTCTGCTAATTCTTTGAATTGGCATATTAAATCCAATTAGAATTAATTTTTATTTAAAGACACTGGAGGCAGCAGATCCAGAGTGGTGGTGAAAATGGCAAGAAGTGGGATTACACTGGAAAGAGAAGCAGGATTTGATGTTAGGTTTGCTATAGAAGTGAGGAGAGGCCAGCCGAAAATAGATGTAAATCTGAATGCACCATTTTTACTGTCTTTATTGCCTATAAATTGAGATGCCATGTTCAGCCATTAGATGTTGTGCCTCCCATTGCTAGTAATGGTTCCCTTCTCCCGTAGAATTTTACATGGAACCCGTGCTTTTATAAAAAAGGTCGTTACTCCACTCTTTCCCTAAAAATACTTAGACCAGCAGCCTGACTTTAGCCTTAGAGTGAGCTTCTCTTCTGCTCGGAGAGTTCAAGGTCAGGTTTTCACAACGATCTCTGGCAGTCTGATGTTTCCTCTTCTACCACTCAGTGCCCACCAACCAGGACCAGAATTCAGTCACCTTGTCACACAGTGCCTGTCCTCAGCCTTTCAGTGTAAAACCTTGGGGAGTTAGCCCTGGCCAGTGTGGCTCGGTTGGGCATTGTCCCTCGCACTGAAAGGTTGCAGGTTTGATTCCCGGCAGGGCACATGCTCTGGTTGCCGCCTTCATCCCTGGCGGGGGGCGTGCAGGAGCCAGCCCATTGTTTCACTTTCACATCGATATTTCTCTCCCCGTCTCCCTTCCTCTCTAAAAATTTTTTAAAGGCCCCTTGGAGATTATAAAGATAATATATGCCCATAATAGAAAATTCAGATTAGCCAAAGAGAAAAATTAAAATCAGTCATAATTACACTACTCATAAATAATATTTTAGAGATACATTCTTTTTTTCATTCATGCATCTTAAATTTACTCAGTTCTAAGGTGTGTTCCCCACAACACTTTAGCATTTTTTTAAATACATATATATACATATACATATACATATACATATATATATATATTTTATTGATTTTTTTTTTCCCAGAGAGGAAGGGAGAGGGATAGAGAGTTAGAAACATCGATGAGAGAGAAACATCAATCAGCTGCCTCCAGCACACCCCCTACTGGGGATGTACCCACAACCAAGGTACATGCCCTTGACTGGAATTGAACCTGGGACCCTTCAGTCCACAGGCCGACGCTCTATCCGCTGAGCCAAACCAGTTAGGGCACACTTTAGCATTTTTAATCTGAGTGCCTGGTACAATCAAACTGTACATTTATGGGAGCCCAGGAAGGACCCTGGGTGGAGGTCTCACACTAGCATTGCTACTGCGGAAAGTTCCTGAGCTCCTGTGCGCTCGTGTCCTACATCTGAACAAATGAAGCCAGTCATAGTACCTGTCGCATGGTGGGTGGGAGGATTAAAGGAGGTTGCCCATGGCAGAATGCCGGTGAACAGTATTAATTGGTAGTGGTTTGTGTTTTCGTTTTGTATTTCTTAAAAAGACATTGTGAAGGTAGCGATGTATATTGAAATAGTGGGGAACATAAAATCAAAGAAATACAGTTCCTCTCAGTGTGTGAGGTTGTGTATTGTTAGATACATATAATTTTTTTCTTTAAAAAATTATTATTGCCCTAGCTGGTTTGGCTCAGTGGACAGAGTGTCATCCTGCGGACCAAAAGGTTCCGGGTTCGAGTCCGGTCAAGGATACGTACCACGGTTGCAGGCTCCTCCCTGGCCCAGGCCCTGGTTGGGGCTAGTGCAGGAGGCAACCAGTAGATGTGTTTCTCTCACATCGATGTTTCTCTCTGTCTTTCCCTCCCTATCTCTTTTTCTCTCCCTAAAGATCAATGAAAAAGTATCCTTGGGTGAGGATTAACAACAACTAACTAACTAAATAAATAAATAAATTTTTTAAGAAGTATTTATTATTCTTTAGTCTTTTTTAAGAAATGACTATTTCCCAGAATTTTATCTACAATAATTTTAATGGCAGCACAGTATTCCATTATATAAACAAGTCATAACATATTTCACCAAATCGCTCTTTAGGCATTTGAGTTGTTGCTGTTGGCACTGTCCAGCAGCTGTGAAAGACATCCTGGTGACTGTAGCACGTTGTCGTCTGCTTACATGATGGCACACTGAAAGCTCACATAGGAAGTATCTCAGATGCTAAGAAATTAAAAAGACTTCGTGTCACTGTGATAAGAATAATTGAATTTATTGTCAATTGTGTGAATCATTGAAAAGTTCATTTCATTTCAGAGCAGTTAATCTTTTTTTAAAAATCCAAATAAAAGTAATGCTTTCTGTTCCAAGGAATGGCATCTCGGTCGGGTACAGATGTTGATGCAGCAAACCTCAGGGAAACATTCACAAAATTGAAATACGAAGTCAGGAACAAAAATGATCTTACCCGAGAGGAAATTGTGGAACTGATGTGCAGCGGTAAGAAATAATTAAAAGAATGCCTCAATGTCCAGTTTTATCCAAGGACAATTTTATTGTCCAAGGTCTAGCTGTGATTATACATGTAATAACAAAACAGAAGAATTGTAGAACTACGCTGTGCATAATCCTACTCTGTGTATCTTATATAGGCAAGATCAGTTATTCGTGCCCAGTCTCTAAAATGGTGTGGGTAGGTTGCTCTGCCCCTAGTTGGGTTTAGATGATCTCTTAGTTCTCTTCCCAGTTTCTTCATCTTATCCCCATATAGTATGTATGAGATTGTTGAATAGAGTTGTGTTCTTTTTTGTTTGTTTGTTTTCTTATTTGTAAACATTTTTCCAGTTTCTAAAGAAGATCATAGCAAGAGGAGCAGTTTTGTTTGCGTGCTTCTAAGCCATGGTGACGAAGGAATAATTTTTGGAACAAATGGACCTGTTGACCTGAGAAAATTAACAAGTTTTTTCCGAGGGGATTACTGTAGAAGTCTAGCTGGAAAGCCCAAACTTTTCATTATTCAGGTAATCTATAACTGAGCAACTTGGCTACAGAGGAACTATTGGGGATTGATTCACTCAATTGTGGATTAGCCAAAAGATTTTTTCCCTGAAGCTACTGAACTATTGCTGCTTTCTTACTCATTTTAACTACCACTAGGAGATACAGAATGAATTTTAATTTTAGACTTGCATCAAAAAGATTCTGCATAGCCCTAACCGGTTTGGCTCACTGGATAGAGCGTCGGCCTGGGGACTGAAGGGTCCCAGGTTCAATTCCGGTCAAGGGCATGTACCTTGGTTGTGGGTACATCCCCAGTAAGGGGTGTGCAGGAGGCAGCTGATCGATGTTTCTCTCTCTTCGATGTTTCTAACTCTTCCTCTCCTTTCCTGTCTGTAAGAAATCAATAAAATATATTTTTAAAAAAAGATTCTGCATAGTTAACATCAACTTTTACATAGCCTTTACATTTCTTAGAAATCAGTTATGTGTGTACACATTTTTAAAAAATGAATGTTTATTCTCTAATGGCTAGGCCTGCCGAGGTACAGAACTGGACTGCGGTATTGAGACTGACAGCAACATTGATGATGACATGGCATGTCAGAAAATACCAGTGGAGGCAGACTTCTTGTATGCGTATTCTACAGCACCTGGTAAGAAGTCACAGACCCTGAATGTTATATGTAGGTTTTAAACAATGGAGAGTATGTTCCAAAGGCTGTCAGTATTTCTATATCCATAAAAAATAGCTAACTTGTTTGTATTTTAGAGTACCTTGACCACAGAAAGGTCTCAAAAAGTGGTTTTTAGCCAAGTTTGGCTAGAAAATAGACATCTATAAGAAAGCAACTTACAGTGTCATTCATGAACCTGATACCAGATAGGATACTGTATTGTAATATAGGCCAACTCATCACTTCACTCACTTCTTGGAATAGGGGAGAGCTATGTTTTCCAGGAATTATTTGGAAGATGGGAAATAAAAAAGTTAAATATGAGTCGTACTTGGAGGGTAGAAGTGGAATGAGGGAAAAGAAATAAAGTAAATGATACACAAACAGGTTATTAGCCTCTGCTTTGTGTGTGTGTGTTGCGCATATCATCATGTAAATAACTGTTGTGCATACAGTTATTTATTCAACTGACTCGGGAGATCACAGAGTTTTGAAGTACAGGATAAATGTATTTTTAGACAGACTTACATTTTCAAATTGATTTTTTTAACCTCTAGGCATTTTTCCAAGTAAAGTATTTCTAAATTAAAAGCAATGAACCCAATAGTTAATCTGAAAAAAGTACAATAAATACACTGTTTCCCGTTGTGGACTTTAATACTCTGTAATGAGTGTATTACACTTTATTCGGGTGTCCTGTAGACAGAGTTAGGACACTCACATGTGTGCATACATAAGCAGTTTATTTCTTGGATAAACCAATAGTCTGATTGAAGACCGTGCTCCTTACAGTGAGCCTTTTGTTTCCTGGTCGAAAGCAGGTTGTGTGCACAACACACGTTTCTGTTGTGTTCTTTCCCCTCAGCGTCATTTCCCCGAAACCAAACGTGTCATTTATTTTTTCCCTTTTGAGGGTTAATAATACCGAGGGAAGTTTATGCTTGCTTTACCTTTATGGTTATATAGAATTTAGAATCAGATACCCATGGTACTTTGGTTATATTTTGCCTTGTAGGTTACTACTCCTGGCGAAATTCAAAGGATGGATCCTGGTTCATCCAGTCGCTTTGTGCGATGCTGAAGCTGTACTCGCACAAGCTGGAGCTCATGCACATCCTCACTCGGGTTAACCGGAAGGTGGCCACAGAATTTGAGTCCTTCTCCTTTGACTCTACTTTTCACGCAAAGAAACAGATTCCATGCATTGTGTCTATGCTCACAAAAGAACTGTATTTTTATCACTAAAGAAATGTATGATTTTTTCTTTTTAGTTTGTTTGCCAAGTGAGGAGAAGGTTTATACTGTGTCTTCCCTCATTTAAATCTACTCTGGTGCTCCCAGGAGTACTTTCATAGCAATAGGGCCACTATGACGCTACCTCAAACTCAGAATCGGGTAGTTGAAATTGAATTTAATTAGGAATAAATAAATGGTAGTGGTACAATTTTGAGAAGAACTGATTGTAAATTAAAAGATCTGATAATTAGCAAGTTTTAGTGGTGCTATGCTCTGAATTTTCAAGTAATTATGGAGTTAAACATTGAGTAACGAATTTCATTGATACTGATATGCTCTCATGTAAGCGTATTCTCGTTTTCGTCAAACTATAGAAATGATGATAGAATAATGTGTGGTGATGGAATAATGTATCCTAGGATTTAGGGGCCATGTGCATGGCCAAGGCATGAGGATCTTGATTTTAGAATAGGTGTCTTTGGATGAATTAGCTGTGTTTTTAGGCCATTTATCTGAGCATATGGTAATGTTTATGCTCAACATGTATTTTGTTGTAAAAATCATGTTTAATATTGAAAAAGAACCTAAATATTTTACTTGAAAGTGTGGACAATCTAAGTTGACACTTTTAAGGCTGAATACATCCTTACTAGCAGGAGAGAGAGTTAGAACTCTCGGGTGCTATACGGCAGCTCATCCACCAGCAGGTTCTCCCGGTTTGTCCCTGAGCAAGCTGAAGAGCTGCTAGTACAAGCCTCCCAAGCAGACCAGCTGATAGCATCGTGCATTGAAGACATTCCATGAGGACACACTAGCATACAACTGATACGATAAACCGTGAAATGTGAGCAGGACATAGTAAATCAGTGCGGGGCACTTTGTCAGTCCAAGGTGGTTTGGGCCTGAGCACAGACAGCGTAGCCATGTAATGAAGGCAGGACCACGGGCTCCGGCTCCAGGAAGAGGACTGTGTGCCTGGAGACCGTCCCAGAGGAGGGCTCTCCAAGACACTGAACCAAATCAGAAACTCTGAAATGGAAGCTTTCCAAAGAAGATGAGAGTCACAACAAAGACCGGAGCGCCCTCTGCAGTAAAATATCTGAGCGTGCTCTCTTCTGCTGAAGTCTGCGATCAAAGGAAATGATGCTGTTATGATTGCTTACTGCTCTCCGAAATGAAAGGGCCATAGTACACAGGACTGAGAAGGCATCCAGTCTTCCCGCTTTGGTGCTTGGTGCCCGGGAAACAAGGTGAGGGAAGCAGCGCAACCATCCCTTCCCTCCCCCGCCACCGCCCAGGAGGCCTGGTTCTCATTCTCAAGCTTCCTTTTGCTCAAAGAAAGCAACTCGCATTTGTAAATGACAGTTTGGTTTTTTTTTACTATGTCTGTAACTTTTTCTAAAGCAGCAGGTAACGGTATCTTAAAGTGTGTTCTATGTGATGATTTTGTAAAGAGTTGCTAATGAATTTTTATTTCAAAATATAAATTCTAACAAAATTACCAACATGGTCAAGCGTCTTTTGTTGTTTTCGTCGTTGTGCTACTAATTGAAGTTAAAATGTTTTTAGCTAATGGCTTTCATTGGAAGGGCCAGATATTTTTGAGAGGGTGGCAGATGAGCAATAGGTAAGCAGGCCTCCGTTCTTCCGGCCCTCGCGGGAGTCCCTGTTCCTAAAATGGCCACGGCCAGGAGGGTACTCGGTTTGCAGAATCACAACCCCTAAATATGGGCATATTTTTTTGTTTGTTTTGTTGCTTTGTGGAAAGGTAACAGTAGAAAGAATATTGCTGAAATGAAACATTTTCCACCACATACGTTTTAAGTATGGCTAGTAAAGGGGGAAATAGAACTTGGGCCATAAGCCAGAAACCACTGAGGGCCACCCCTGGGAGGTGGTGTTGTGACAAGGAAGGTGGTCCCTTTCGATTTTACATACTTAGAAAAGGGATGTAAGAAAGTGTGAGCATGGTTGTTTTAAACTTCTTCCAATATTTCTTTCTTTTTAAGTATTTTTATTGGTTTCAGAGAGGAAGGGAGAGGGGGAGAGAGAGAAACATCAGTGATGAGAGAGAATCACTGATCGGTTGCCTCCTGCACACCCCACACTGGGGATCAAGCCCGCAACCAGGGCATGTGTCCTGACCGGGAATCCAACCCTGACCTCCTGGTTCGTAGGTCAATGCTCAACCACTGAGCCACGCCTACCGGGCTTCTTCCAATATTTCTATACTGAATAGATATTACTTTGAAATCAGAAAACTAAATAAAATTCTCCTGATTGGGAATAGGAGAATCCATCCTATTCCCAATAGGAGGGTGGCATGAATAACGTTTTAAAGACTCAATTTTAAGGCTATAGTTCTGTAGTGTGTTGAGAAAATCAAGCCTGTGCTCATCTCTCTACTATATGAAAAGTCTTAGGTGTGAAAAATAAAAAGACCAACAACTCAATAGAAAAACGGACCAGGACGTGAACAGACAGTTCACAGAGAAAGACCAAGTGTCCCTTACACCCAGGTAAAGAGCTTAAGCTCCATCATAATAAGGGAAATGCACATTAAACTAAGGTGTTACTTGTCATCCATTGGCAAAAATCCTCAAGTTTGATGACATTCTGTTGGCAGGGCAGCGGGGATGCGTTGTCCCAGTGGCGGCAGTGTGAAATGCCGCAGCTCCCTGGGGAGGAGAATCTGACAATACCGATCAGATTACTCACTCTCTGAAGTAACGGTCTCACTTCTTGGAAAGCAAAGTGCCCATACACTTGCACATGTTGCAAAATCATATGCACAATTATTCATGACAACACTGTTTTAATGCTAAAAATGGCAGCAACCCAACTGTAAAGACAAGTTAAATACACGATGGTGCGTCCACACAGTGGAACAGGATTTGCTGCAAAACAGCATGAGGTAGATCAGAGATTGCGATTTATGGTTAAGTGAGAAAGCAGCATGTATGGTTAAGTGAGAAAGATGAAACAGAACACTAGAGAGAGTATACTGTGTTTTGTGTAAAAAGGGAGTTGGGGGGGTTCGGGGGAGGTGTGGATATGAATATGCATTTGCATAAAGAGATACCAGAAGGATTTAAAAATATATAAATGGAAATGGTGGATAGGGGCAGGGGTGGAAGTAAGATTTCTCATGTTTGCTTTTCTATATCATTTTGACTTTTTAAAACCATGTCAGGGTATTACCTGTCTTCAAAAATGGAATTAAAATCAAACAGAAGAGGGGGGTGTCACAAAACTATCTCAGTAACAAGAACATGGGTCAGTACAGGGATAAGGGTGGAGAGGGTGCCATAGTTTCCAACAGCTATGTTATGGGATTTCGTTTAGATTGTTTATTCTCTGTTTTACCTCAACCTCTGCAGATATTAGTTGAGAAATAATAACTTAATAACATAACTGGTAGCATCATCCCCATGTGCCAATGTGTGGGTTGGATCCCCAGTTAGGGCACATACAAGAAGCAACCAATGATGGCATAAGTAAGTAGAACAATAATGCCTCTTTCTTCTCTCTTTTCCTCTCTCTCTCTCTCCCCCTGCTTTATTTCTCTCTCTAGAATTAATAAATAAATTAAGAACTTGAGCTTAAAGTAATTCTTGGTATCACCTCTTTTTTTTTTTTTTTTAAATATATTTTATTGATTTTTTTTACAGAGAGGAAGGGAGAGAGATAGAGAGCCAGAAACATCGATGAGAGAGAAACATCGATCAGCTGCCTCCTGCACATCCCCCACTGGGGATATGCCTGCAACCCAGGTACATGCCCTTGACCAGAATCGAACCTGGGACCTTTCAACCGGTTTCGGCGGTATCACCTCTTTAGTTGAAGGTGCAAACTACAGTATCTGGTCCCTTAGTTTCTTAATTGATTTTGTAGTTGTTCCATCTTTATTCTTTGCGATATGATTATAGTGAATTATCACCTGAAGGACAGCCCAACAAATACCCACAAAGGGATTTTTCATGCACAGAAACTCTACTGTTTGCTACATTGATAACAAAAAGAACTGAGGGACTGACATGTTTAGAAAGGTTCAAAAAAACAAAGGCAAGCATATCCCTTTAAAGATGTTTTTGCCAAATTTAAACTTGGAACAAAAGCTATTAAGTAGCACATTGCAGCTGAAAGAGTCCATTATCTAATCCACCCTTTGTTTTCAGGTGACTTAAATGTCATCTCAGAGACCCCATAGCCTCACACACCGTTCCCTTAGAGGGAAGCATGCTTGGCCAGTGTGTTGAAAGCTAAATCACTGATTTTACCAAAATAATTCCAAACACTCATTTCTGCCTGGCAGGTTTAAGGAGCATTGGGGAGGCCATTGTGGCTGGAGGAGAATAAGAGGGAGAGCAGGTGAGGTCCAGGGGAGATGGTACAGAGCCTTGTAGATGCGGTACCTGGAGGTTCCAACTGGGGAGAGAGCGCACATGGAAGGGGAGGAGGCTCCAACTTAAAGACCCAAGAAAGGAGACTGAGGACTGCCAGGGTCAGAGGTGGAAAAATAAGAGCGTATAGAGTGAGGGAGCCAAGGAAAGAAACTAGCACACGCACATTTGATATCTAATAATCCTCTGAGTGAGCTGACTATAATATTTCCGGATCTATTCTTCATTTATACCTTTTCTTTCTAGACCTTTACGTTTGCCAAAGCTTTTGCCCATTTTTAAAGCTAACTGATGATTCTGCTCAAAACCTTATTATTTATATTTCCAACTTTAATCAGAACATCATAGAGTCAAGAGCACCATGTAGAAATAGTAGTTCCCTATTCCCAGCCAATGCGGCCATGTTTCTATCTGAGCATTTACCTCAGAGCCACTGTTGCTGATGCAAATTGAGTTGGAGAGGACTGAAAAAGGAAATGTGGGGTGGGGTGGGAACCAGGTGGAGGGGAGCTATGGGGGGAATAAAAGGGGAACATCTGTAATAATCTGAACAATAAAGATTTATTTTAAAAAAGAAAATGTGCAAGGGATGTCTTTAGAGAGTTTCTATTGTTTATAAATCTGTGAGAATGAGTTGGGCTACCAGTGGTGGAGACAGTGTGTGTACCCAAATCTTGTTCTGTATCTGCACAATCTCATGGCTCTCTGTTCCCTCCTGTGACCTTGAGACCTTGCAGTAAGAGGCAGATCAGACTTGTCTGACTTACGCCTATCAGCTGTAGTCTGATTCATCACTCTCGTCGCAAACCAGGCTGATACAAAATTAAATTATGCAAATATCAAAAATCGGGGTTTTTTTGGACAGATTCTATCTTTCTGTTTTACTTTGGATACATTATTCCTCTTGATCAACTTGATATCCTGAAAAAAATTATTTTGAAAAATCTTTAATGTGAGAAGTTTAATATGAACCTTCCAGGTACATCTCTCTGATGTTCAAGTCAATCAAAACCCTTTATATTTCATTTGAATTTCTAATGTCAGTGCAAAATTGTACAAAATTAGAACCTGATTTATTCCTGTTTTCTCCCCCATTTCATCCCATCTGCTAATACACTCTCAAGCAAAGAGTGCAATTGAGAGGTTGAAAGAGTCCATTCTCTAATCTACCCTTTATGTTTCAAACAAAACAATGTTTTGGTATATGCAATGAGAACATGAAAAAGAAACATAAGCTAGCCTCAGAGCCACTATAATGCATTCATATCCTTAAAGTTAAACCACTAAAAATTTGAAATAATTTGCTCTGGGTTCCCCTTCACAAACTTCTTCTTAAAACTCATCAAGTCGCTGATGGAAGCTTATTGTGAAAGTTTATCTGAGAGCCTTAGGCCATCTACTTTGTGTTCAAACCCTGAAGTAAATGTCCCATCAACTCACTACCCTGTTACACAACTACCTCAGTTAGAGAAGGGCATGATTTCAAATTGCATCCAGGAAATTCTGAGTTGACATCTGCATGATATTTGGAGGGGTTCTATTTGTTGGGCAGCCCATGTTTCAGCATGTGAAACTTCCAGGCAAACTATGTTCAACTGAAAAGGAAAAGAATGATTACATGAAAAGAAGGAAGGATTCCTGTTGGTGCTAACAAGCGGAGCTACTCTTGGCTCTATGCAGTGGTTACTGATTCCATCTTCAGGTAGAGAGTCGGTCCATAATCATGAGTCCTTTGGTCAGGATGTCTGCTTTCCTGCAGGATTTACAAACAATGATTTGTAAAACCGTGTTGATTTTAGCCCAGTCCACCGTTCTGGCCCAGTCAAAAGATTCAAGGAACAAGACATGCAAGGCAGTTCCTCTGGAATAGCCGGGTTTATGTCATTTTCCATAACTACGACTAAGAAATATTTTTCACAAAACATAGTCCCAGTTCATTTCAACTCATCCCCACATCACCTCCCCCATTACACTTCCTCTGTTGGGTTTCATGTAGTTTGATTAGCATCAGCTCTGACATTGGCTAACTACCTACCTCTTTCCCAGTATAAACTCTAGCTTCTTCTCTAAAATGGAGGCAATAACATTTTCCTTCCAG